CACCCCAGGACTGTCCCTGAGGACCACCCAAAGCCCTCCTCCCTTGTTTCTCCAAATGTTCATTTCACTAACCTGATGGCCCTGTCCCTTCTTGCCACTCTCCCCAGCAGCACCCTAAACAGTAGGGGTCCTGTCCTCATCCCACCGCATTTATATCCACATCAAAAACCCCAGTCTTTCCTTTAAAAAACCAAAATGTGGCACATACACTATGGAATACTGTGCAGCCATAAAAAATGGTGAGTTCGTGTCCTTTGCAGGAACATGGATGAAGCTGGGAGCCATTATCCTCAGCAAACTAACCCAGGAAGAGAAAATCAAACACCTCATGTTCTCGTAAGTGGGAATTGAAAAATGAGAACACACGGACACAGGGAGGGGAACATCACACACCAGAGCCTGTCGTGGTTGGGTGCAAGGAGAGGGAGGGAGAGCATTAGGACAAATACCTAATGCATGCGGGGCTAAAAACCTAGATGACGGGTTAATAGGTGCAGCAAACCACCATGGCACATGTATACCTATGCAACAAACCCACACATTCTGCACATGTATCCCAAAAAACCTGGGAATCAAGATTGCTAGTGTATTGTGTTGGATTTTGGCAACAGTATTCAGAAGAGTTTGGCTTTTAATTCATGTTTTTTGACATGTCTTTTACACAATTTGCTATCATGATTTTCCCAGTTAAAAGAGAGCAGCACATGTTCCTGTACATAAAAAATTGAAGTTATTTCTATTTAAAATATGAGAGAGGCTGGGTGTTGTGGCTCACACCTGTAATCCCAGTACCTTGGGAGGCCAAGGAAGGCGGATCACCGGGATCAGGAGTTTTGAGACCAGCCTGGCCAACATGGTGAAACCCATCTCTGCTAAAAAAAAAAAAAAAAAAAAATACAAAATTTAGCCAGGCATGTTGGCGAGCATGTATAGTCCCAGCTACTCAGGAGGCTGAGGCAGGAGAATTGTTTGAACCCACGAGGCGGAGGTTGCAGTGAGCTGAGATTTCGCCACTGCACTCCAGTATCACAGGACTACTGTATGAAAATAATGAAAATTGGTCCCTGCCTTATCCCAAATGCAAAAATGATTTGAATTACACTCTTCATATAAGAAGAAAGGTATAAAGATTCTAATAAAATAACATCTTTATATCCTAAATAACATATACATGTATATAGTGAGTGTGTGTGTGCATAGTTGTTTCAGGACACAAAAATACTAATCTTGAGAAAAAAACCTTGGTCTACATAAATATTGAAACTAGTTGGCATAGCAAAAGTCCCCTTTAAGAAAATGCCTTACAAAGCACAGAATGTGCAATGTTGGCCCTGGTTGTCAACACTGCCAGTGTTGCTGCTGTCCTCACCGCAGACAACTGTGGCTTTTGTTCAGAACCCTCGGATGCTGAGGGTGGCTGAGCTGGCCCTGCCTGGGCCACAGACCCTAAACGGGACAGAGCAGGGAGGGACTGTGGGTCAGAATCACAGGCCACTGGGGAGAGCGGGGGTGTATGGAGCCAGGGAGAGGGTTTGGAGATCAGCCAGCCAGGGGCAGGGGCAGGCAAAACCTGTAGGTTCCTGTGGATGCCCTAGAATCGCGCAGTTACTTCTGAGTAAGGCATGAAACCAGTGAGTGTTGAGCTGACAACTGTTGCAATTTTAAAAAATAAAAACAAATGTTCAGTTAGGCTGTGGAGCCTCAGAAGCGCTCACTAACAACTGGGATATTACCAAGGTCAGCCATCCGGAGAGAAGTCCCTCAACACATAGAACATTAAGTGTGCACCCCCCCACGCAGCAAGTCCACTGGCTCAGAGATGGAGGGAAATACATAGGAGGAAGTCCTCACTGGTAACATTGTATCGGCAGCAACCCGGCTGCTCAGCACCAAGGTTTATAACTGAAGTGTGGTTTAAACAATGCTGACCTGTTGGAAGTAATGGAAGGGGTTCACATGCACACACGGATACAATTAAATGCTTAAGCCTGACAAAAAATAAAAAACCAGATGAGGCCTAAAGAGGAAAAATTATTTACTTAAAAAATGCAAACAGACTATGAATTCTTTAAGTATCTGTAGAGATGATTTGGAAGTCAGAGTGAAACCACATTATTTACTCTTGAGTTGGTGACTCAGAGATGGACGGAAACATGATCTGAAATGGTTATAAAGAAAAAAATACAAAAGAGAGGCCTATTAGGCGGCTGAGGATGAGAGGGTTAATAAGTGTGAGTAAACTCCGTGCGTCTGGGTCCCAGGAAATGCCACACACAGTGCTGGCATCGCTGAAGGGCAAGCGGCTGCAGCCTCTTCAGCCAGAGGGACCTCCCTTCAACCCACACCCTCTTTGTTTAGGATTCCCTGCAGCCCTGTTCCCTCTCTAACATCGTGAGCAGTTTTAGAAAGGAGGATCAGGGCGGGGTGCGGTGGCTCACGCCTGTAATCCCAGCACTTGGGGAGGCTGAGATGGGCGGATAACGAGGTCAGGAGATCGAGACCATCCTGGCTAACACGATGAAACCCCGTCTCTACTAAAAATACAAAAAAATTAGCCGGGTATGGTGGTGCGCGCCTGTAGTCCCAGTTACTCAGGAGGCTGAGGCAGGAGAATGGCCTGAACCCGGGAAGCGGAGCTTGCAGTGAGCCAAGATCGTACCACTGCACTCCAGCCTGGGTGACAGAGCAAGATTCCAACCTCCCCCCCCCCCACCAAAAAAAAAGGAGGATCAGGACGATCAGAGACCTCCACCTGAGACGCCCGGGTGTATCAGAGAAGCAGGATGGCTTTGGAGTCTGAGGACTGTGTGGGACAATGGCGGACACTCCTGAGATGGCCCCTTCCAGCTGGGAAATGACTCAGAGCCTCCATGGGAGTTCAGCCATCAGGGTGCCCACTGGGTAGGTTGGGTGGCAATGCTGACCTACCAGGATACACCTCCCACCCACTGGGTCAGCTGTGAGAACCAGGGCAGAAAGGCCAAAGAGCAGATGGGTAGCAAGGTCTTATTTGAAAGCAGTGGCTCTACCCCCATGAAGTTTTGGGAGATATAAGGAGGCTTCAGGGAGCCCAGGCTCCACAGCAGAGCATCAGGAAGCAGAGTCCCATCTGAACATCTGAACCATACCCTGGGCTCCTGTCCTGACCCTCCTCACTCACTGCACAGGAAAGGGGGGACCTCACCTGGGGACCGGGGATCCACACGTGGCTCTGCTCCATACAGCCCCTCTCCTCTCCCCTCAGTGGCCTGTGATTCTGACCCACAGTCCCTCCCCTCTGTCCTATTTAGGGTCTGTGGCCCAGGCAGGGTCAGCTCAGCCACCCTCAGCATCCGAGGGTTCTGAACAAAAGCCACAGTTGTCTACAGTGAGGACGGCAGCAACATTGGCAGTGTTGACAGCCGGGACCAACATTACACATTCTTCACATGTGCACGCTGTGAGCATTTTCTGTCATTCTGTGCTTTGTAAGTCATTTTCTTAAAGGAGACTTTTGCTATGCCAGCTAGTTTCAATATTTATGTAGACCAGTGTTTTTTCCTCAAGATTAGTATTTTTGTGTCCTAAAACTACGCACACACACTCACACACTATATAAATATATATATATCTCTCTCATATATGTGTCATTTAGGATATAAAGATGCTATTTCATATTTTTCTAGAATCTTTATACTTTTATATGAAAAGTGTGAGTCAAATCATTTTTGCATTTGGGATAAGGCAGGGACAAATTTTCATGATTTTCATACAGTAGTCCTGTGATGTTTTTAAGATACAAAAATACCATTTGATAAAAATTCAACATTTGCTTATAATTTTAAGAGTCTCAATAAATTAGAAATCAAACGGAAATTCTTAAAACAACCGTAGAAAATTAAAAACAAATGATAAATCACCCTAATGGTTTTATGTAAGAGTTGTTCCATGTAAACCAGAAACAAATCAAACTTCCTTCATCCAATGATGCAGTCTCTTGGAGTGGCTGGTGAGCTTATTTCACTCAGGTCCCTGTAAGGAATATGCTGCTTTATAAGAGCTACAGCCCATTCAGGAAAGCCCGTCTGTTCTTTCCAACTTGCTATTTTTATTTCTTATGAAGTCTTCTCCATCCACATGAAATTCGAAAATCAAAGTTGTCTTTTTTTTGTATTTACTCCTTGGAAATCCTGTGGGAGTTTTTTTGTTATTCTTTTCTTTCTGAGACAGTCTGCCTCTGTCTCCCAGGCTGGTGTGCACTGGTGTGATCTCAGCTCACTGCAACTTCTGCCTCCTGAGTTCAAGCGATTCTCCTGCCTGAGCCTCCTGAGTAGCTGAGATTACAGATACCTGCCACCGTGCCCAGCTAATTTTTGTGTATTTTTAGTAGAGATGGGATTTCACCATGTTGGCCAGGCTGGTCTTGAACTCCTTACCTCAGGTGATATACGCCTGCCTTAGCCTCCCAAAATGCTGGGATTACAGGCATGAACCACTGCACCTGGCCTGTTTCTTTTGTTTAGTATTTTTGTTTGCTTTGCTTCATGACCTGCTATTTTGACTCTAATTTTAATATTTTTAGCAATTTTTGGATATGCAGAAATTTCTTACTAATCAAATATATTTTTTTATTTTGTGTGTTTTTTAGATTTCCTTTTTTAAGAGTATTTCCAACCATAAACTGCCAAATAGAAACACACACACACACACACACACACACACACACACACAGGCAACTATTAATAGGCAACTCATTGAAATAGAAAAAAATTGATTAAAGCACCTGTGGGATTTTTCACCAAATTAGGATTTTTATTTAAAAAAAATTATAGTGTTGTTTAGCCTACATAGAAAGAGACTTACTTATGTAGTTGATAAGAATGTTAATTGATCAATTTTTTGGAAAGTAATCTGCCAGTATAATTAAAATTATAATTAAAATGTATTAATAGGTCAGTTATCCCACTTTGAGAATCCTATACTACAGAAAAGAAGAAATATAAACAAAAACATCAGTGGGATCCATGTATATTGATGATTATTGAAAAGTCATTAGTGGTAGGAATTTTTAAAAACAACCTTAATATCCATCTAATAGGGAAGAGTTAAAGAAATCAGAACATACCTATAATGAGTATTACTACACAGAAATTCAAATGATACATTTGATCTACATTAGTTGGAATTAGTGATGTCCATGTACTGTAATGGGAGAAAGTAAATTATTAAAGAATGTAGGAGTTGAGTACGTTCTTTAAACAAATCAATAAAGCCCTAAAAGGACATATTGTTGAAAACAAGTCACAAAATCCAGACATGATAGGGAAAATATTGAACAATTTGACTATGCAAAAATGAAAGTTTCTTCAAGACAAATACAAAAGTTATGATACAGACCTTAAGAAACTTGCTAATTATATGAAATAAATTTACAGAATATATGAAAAATATCATTACATGAATTACAAAACTAGTAAAACATATCATTATGAAATTCTCAGAAATACAAATGGCCAATAAACATATACAAAAATGCACAATCTCTCCCGTAAGTGGAGAGATCCAAATTAAAAGTGGAAATATTTCTTACAAAATTGGCCAAGATTAGCATTGGTCATTTCCTTTGTAATTAATTAAGGGTGTGTGGAAATAGGAACTCTCATATACTGATGATGGGAGTATATGATCATTACATTTTTTTGAAACACAGATTTTTATCAAAATATTCAATATTCTTACTTTGCCTCAGTATTCTTTTAGAAATCAATCATAAAAGAAAAATCCCACTTAACTAAGGTACCAAGAAGATGAATATACAGGTATGCCCAGGATAGTGTAGGTAATGGTAACAGATAACTGAATCCAACATAAAAATTCCACAGTGAAAAGTGACCAAATTATGGTAAAATACCCTGTTGAATAATGATGCAACTATAAATAAGAATGAGGGAGACCTATATGTACAGATAGAATTTTCACCAAATTCTATTTTATGTGGAAAAGCCAGTCAGGGAACAACACATAGAGCAGCATCATGTTATGTAAAAACATGGGCATGTCTATCTGTGTGTAAGTGGATGTGGATGACTGAGTGGGCTGGGCGCTGGCGGTGATACATTTCATTATACAGACCTAAGCAATATTTGCATTTTTATAACAATAGCATATGTGTTTCTTATGTGATTTACTAGAAACAATTTAATTTCTTGAGTTGTAAAAAGGTGTATTTTAAACCTGTATAAAGGTACCTGGAGATCATCGTCATTCAGAATAACAAAATAGCAATATAAAGACACAGATGATGATATAGTACAATGTTAAATATAATATTCAAGATATTAGAATTACATATATCTACATCTGTATGCATGTAAGGATGTCAACAAACGATAATATCTAAAATTCAATTGTGGTAATTTTTGCAGACCTCTGAATATATTAGAAACCATTGAGTTGTACACTGTATAAATTTATGGTATTTGAATTATATCTAAAAGTTCTGCTAGAAAATGAATGGCTTGATATTCTAAATGCTAAGGGATGGTTTTATTTAAAACATAAACTAATAGTTTCCAGTAGATTCCGTTAAAAATATTACAGCAGGGATTTCCAGATCATACCCACTCCCACGTTTTTAGAATTTTTATTTTCCAAAGTTCTGAATTCAATGAGGTGAAGGTGGAAGAAAGCGTTTACAAAGTCGGTGGGTTACAGGAGAGCTGGTGTAGGGTGAGGCAGAGTAGGGAGAGAGGCTCCTTTCACATGGAAGCCTCTGGAACCCGCAGAAAGCAAGTGTAAGGCGGGGCGATCTTCTGGAAAGCTACCAGAGAAAGGCTTTAGACCCAACACGCCTGTTCACAAACAGACAGGGGCATCTCAGTGTTTCCTTAAATCCACTCTTTCTATATTGACACAAGGAAATAATTAAAAGGGATAATTCTGGTTTAGTTATTTCATACAATTATCAACAAACAACTTTTGAAACAAAAAGTATTAAAAAAACTATAAAAGTGGAACTCAATAAAATTACCTGTTTAATAATCTGTTTCAGTGGCTCAGAAAGAGATCGGCGGGCAAACCAGCCATGGATGAGGCCCCCAACCTGTGGAGGAAGCCCCAGCCATAGATGACGCCCCCAGTCGTGGATAAAGTCTCCAGCCCATAGATAAAGCCCCCAGCCATGAATGAAGCCCACAGTCCATGGATAAAGCCCGCAGCCATAAATGAAGCTGCCAGCCATAGATGAAGCCGCTAGCCATAGATGAAGCCTCCAGCTATAGATGAACCCCCAGCCATAGGTGAAGCCTCCAGCCATAGATGAAGCCCCCAGACATAGATGAAGCCCCCAGTAGTGGATAAAGTCTCCAGCCCATGGATAAAGCCCGCAGCCATAGGTGAAGCCTCCAGCCATAGATGAAGCCCCCAGACATAGATGAAGCCCCCAGTAGTGGATAGAGTCTCCAGCCCATGGATAAAGCCCGCAGCCATAGATGAAAACGCCAGCCATAGATGAAGCCTCCAGCCGTAAGAGGCTGCTTGGATGTGTCCTGCAGCTGCTCCCTCAATGTGTCAGTCCTGTGTTGCTCAGCTGGGTGCATTTTTCAAACCTGAGAAGAAATCATAAGCCTGTGGAGACAGCCAATATATTTCTCAGGGTTATCTGAAACAAACAAAGAACAATTATTACAAAACATGGGAGACACTGGCTGCTCCTCATCAATGCAGCACATGTTACTGTAGAAAGTCAACAGCAGCCTTGAAAGTGGTAGCCCCTGAGAACACAATGAAATTACAATGTTTTATTATATAAAACTAGAAAACCTCAGTGTGACGTGAAGTTCAATTTAAAAAGTACAAAAGATACATGGTAACAGGAAAAAAAAATATGACCAGGCATATCACAAAAGTTTTAATATACTTAAAATGTAACAAGTCTCTAAATGTAGGGAAGAAGACTGGCAGCAATCACATGTAAGCATGTTGGAGACATGAACAAACAATATAAATAAAACAAATGGCTTTTAATCTCATTGAAAAAATTTTAAAAATCACCTTAACCACTTTAGAGACAAAATTTTAGAAGTTTCACATGTAACTCTGTCAGCGTGGCTGTGCACACATTCTTGCTAAGAAAGCCCCATTAGGCACCTGTGGAGGGAAATCTGGCAACATTTAGCAAAGTTGCAAAGCAGTAACACTTCAATCCAACACCTCAAAATCTCTCCTAAAGGAGACTGGCAAAAACTGAAAAGACTAGCGCACAAGACCATTGATTGGTTGCAACACTAGAAAATGCAGAGCATACTTCTAAACTTGAATGTCAATAAAAATCATAATGCAATTAGATAATACTTATGAATAAATAACAAAATGTGTGCAAACTGAAAATTGTGAGATGCAGCAAAGAGCGTTATGTGAGAGCAATCTATAAGCTTAGTTATTTACATTGGAAAGTCAGAAAGGCCGAAAGTTAATTAAGCATACAACTCAAGTTAGAAAAAAGTAACATCAGAATAAACGCAGATAATGTAATGGAAGGACAACAGATGAGAAGAGAAATTGATGAAATAGAAAATAAGGACAATATCAGGGAGAAGTAAGGAAGCTAACAGTTGTTTTGGAGAAAAGTCTAATACAAAAGTCATTAGTGAGATTTATCAAGAAAAAAGGGAAATCATCAAAATTCATCAGAAATTCATAGGAAGACATAACCACAGAAGTAGCAGAGATTACAAAACAATCAGTGGATATTATGAATAGGTATATATGTATTCAAATCTACATATGTATTCGTGTTATGTATACAAATATATATGAATATGGATATTATGCCAATATATTTTAAAATGTGTATAAAATAGGATCCTAGAAAGTACAATTTTCTAAAATGAACTCATGAAGAAATAAAAATTCTAAATAGTTCAGTAGCCACTATGTAAATTTAATCAGTAGTTAAGAAGTACCGGTCTTTGTCTCTTTCTCTCCCTTTCTCTCCCTTTCTCTCTTTCTCTCTGTCACAAACACAGCCCTAGTAGTAGTAGTGACTAAATCCAAAATTACAATGGAGTTGTCATTCTAATCTGATTGCAAGATTTCCATAAAATTAATGAAGGGGGCTGCTTTCAATTTAATTTGATTAGAATATTGTTATCTCAATACCATACAAAAAAATTAAGTATAAAAAGAAAAACTGTCTGTCAATCTTACTCAAGAGCACTGGCATAAACTCCCCAGAGGAGGAGAAGGCAATGACCACTCCGCCTCCAATAGGAAGAATCAATACAAACAAAACAGTGTGCAGCCCGAAACAGCATATCCTGACGTGCTCAACCTTATACCCAATATTTAAAAATATGGAGAACACACAGGGCCATGGGAGTGGCTGTTGGAGAAATTTTCATGAAGGAAGAAATATTACAACTAAGTTTTAAAATGCTAGTTTTGTTTTGTCTTGGAGAGGAGGTAAAAGTGGGAGTAAAAATAGGGAGTTTGGTGTAAGGTGGGAAAAGCAAAGGAAACCTGCATGGATGGGTTGAAGGGTATGATGGGAGAACAGTGAGAAGTATGTTTGGGGAAGCAATTGGAAATAGCGGCTAAGCTTAATCACAATCTATCAAAAGGGCTTTGTTGAAGAATTAATGTGTGACTAGGAACAGGGAGGTATGGGCTTGTCAGCTCGACAGTGGGCACTCAGTTCCACTAACAAATGATGCCCATGTGGACAGACAGAGTGATGGGCAGGCAGATGAATGCGTGGGCTCTACGTGAAACAGGTGTTTTAAAGTTCCATTTTCCCATACTTCGAATAGCTTTTCATTAGCTAAATTTAGCCACATGTAAAATCACTAAGGCAGACTTCCAGGGTTCCCACACGATAATCAAATGTCAACCAGCTGTGACCTACTTCAACACCATCATCGGAAGTCAGAAGTTGAGCTCTTTTTTGATGTTTAAAGTCAGCATAATATTCGCGCTGTATTATTATTCAGTGTATTACTATTTTCTTTGTGATGGAAATTTGGTTTTTCCCAATTTTCTATTCCGTAAAAACACTGCAACATAGAAAATCCCCATGCACATATTTATCTTAGTAGTGGAAATATTTTACATAAAAGACTCTACACATGGGATGAAATTTACCAGGTTATTAGAATTTTAAAATCGATAGGTAATCCCAAGTCGCCCTCTTACAAATTACACGATCTCCTAAGTTTCCAAATGTTACGGAGTTGCCCATTTTGAGAAATCTGTGCTAAAAGGACCCAACAATGCTGACGACAGTGATGAGGATGATAAGGAGGCCGGGAAGACAACAGAGTGATTTAGATCTTAGACAGATCACTGTCAGTGTCTCCATTGGTCCAGCTCTTGCATTCGTTCTTGTTCTTTTTCCTTTCACCAAATAAAATAGCCCCTTGACATCACATGAATCCATGCTGTGCTTAATGAGTATTGCTTAGTGAAATGCCTATGACTAGTAATCTTCATCTATGCAATTAAATATTCATAAGACACTTCAAATGTAAGCAATTAATAATTAGTAAATGAAAAGTACATAATTCATCAATTAGAAAAACTCACTATTAAAAAGTTATTTGTGTGATAGATGGCCATTTTTATATTTTTCTACAAGGTTAAAGAAAACTAAGTCAACTTATACGAGTGAATTTTAAAAGCCTTTAGGCTGGGCGTGGTGGCCCCACGCCCATAATCTCAGCACTTTGGTAGGCCAAGGTGGGCAGATCACCTGAGGTCAGGAGTTCGAGACCAGCCTGACCAACATGGTGAAACTTCATTTCTACTAAAAATACAAAAAATCATCCGGGCATGTTGGCATGAGCCTATAATCACACCTACTTGGGAGGCTGAGGCAGGGGAATCGCTTGAACCTGGGAGGCTGAGGTTTCAGTGAGTTGAGAGAGTACTGTTGCACTTCAGCCTGGGCAACAAGAGTGAAACTGTCTCAAAAAAAATTACTAAATAAAAGCCTTCATCCCTACCCCGGAATGCTGAGTAAATTGGCCAAAAATCCTAACCTGTGCATTTCAATACTATAGGATTCACATTGGTAGAAATAACCACATGAAATATTTCTGGTATTTCACCTTCCCAACCCACAGGAGCCAGTGGTTTTTTTCTGTGAATAACAAAAACAGCAAAATTTACTTCCCTATCCATAAAAGGTTACCACTTCTGTGTGTTCCCCTGAAACAGGTGGTGGCTGGGAGAGAAGGGGGACAGCACTGGGGCAGGAGATGGGGGCTCCAGTATTCTGGGTGAGTTTCCTAAACCTCTGCAACTTTCAGTCCCTAAATGGGATGAGCCACGGGAAGTTTTAGCACAATGCCCAGAACAAAGTAAGGATTTGACACCTGGCACTTCTGTCTGCATTGTTCTGTTATCAGCCACCACGTCCTGCACCTCCCAGCCCACTGGGCTCTGGCTGTTTCCATCACACGGAGAATGACCCAGAGCCTGGCCTCCAGCCACCCTCCTGGCCTTGCTGCTTCTCACTCTCCACTGGCTCCTCACAGACCAGCCTGGGTGTCCTCAGACATACCACACACTTCACTGTGGGAGTCACGCAGCCCTCATGGCTCCTTCCCCAGGGAGCCACGGGGCTTTCCTCCTCAGGAGGACTCTGCGAGCACCTGGATGAAGGGCCCTCCCATCCCTCATCCTCCTTTAATTTTTGTCACAGGTCTCCTTCCTTCCACTCAGTGCAGCACACACTCATTGATCCTCCATCTTCCCCATAAAGATAGGAACAGCACGAGCAGTAGAGAGTAGATGTCCAATGACGGAAAAAATAGTCAATGATTTATCATTTCCATTTATCATCAATTAAGAAACCGTATGCTGAAGGTCATGCACCTCCTATGGGACTGCTGCATCCTCAGCCTCCTGAATTTCAGCCCAGCACCTTCCTCCCCAGCACAGCAACAGGTCAGCCCTGACCAGCATTCCTCTCTTATTGCCTTTGTGCAAAGCCAGGACCAGGACCAGGTGAGGTCTTGGGATTGTCCCCCCTCAACAATCTGCAAAACAATCCTTGACGTCACCAACAAAGCACAGCCTTATGAATAGGTGGTCAGTCCCTCTGAACACCTCTATCACTGTAAAGCTGGCAGCGCCCCTCCACGGTTGGCCTTCCCAGGCACTGCACCTCTAGGTGACGGAGCATGTCCTTACCCTGAGGCCTGTGTGCCCAGTCTATCCTGTCCAATGAGCGAGCTGTGGAGAAGGGGGGATTCCAGGTTAAGGGGAGACTAGCAGGGCTCCTGCTTTTATGCTGCCCTGTTGGGAAGGCTGTTAAAGAAATGAAGTGCTAAGCAGTGAAGGTAGAACATGTTTTCATTATTCAAACCAATACATTCCACAGATTGGAATAGTAAGAAATGCTACATCCAAGCTAACTGAATCCAACAGCATATCAAAAAGATAATCCACCATGATCAAGTGGGTTTCATACCAGGGATGCAGGGATGGTTTAACATATGCAAGTCAATCAATGTGATACATCACATAAATAAAATTAAAAACAAAAATCATATGATAATCTGAATAGATGCAGAAAAAGTATTTGACAAAATCCAGCATTTCTTCATGATTAAAACTCTTCAGTAAAATCATTATAGAAGGGACATACCTTAAGGTAATAAAAGGCAGCCACAGCCAACATCATCCTGAATGGGGCAAGTTGAAAGCGTCCCCCCTGAGGACTGGAACAAGACAAAGATACCACATTCACCACTTCACTCAACACAGTGCTGTTCACTACAGCATTGGTCATAAGGGCAAGACTGGAAACAGAACAAATGGATACCCAGAGGGCGGTGCTTAAGTAATTTTGGGAAGAGTCATAGGATGCAGTATTTCATAGACCTGAAACAATACAATGGATTCACAGTTGAAATGTGGAATGATAACTAAGGTGCATTGCCCAGTGGTATATGCAGAGGTGCAGAGACTTTGTATAAACACGATCCCGCATCAGCATGCATTCCAGGCACACGTTTCTATTTGCACATAGATTGTAGGGATGATATGTGAACAAAAATGTTGACTTGGTGTTTGGAAGGTCAGAGTGGAAGGGAAACTTCCTTGCTAACCTTTTATGATATTTAGAGTTATTTGTAACCGTGAATATGTAATACATTTAGAAACAATAACAGCTGATGTCTGTATTTAAAAACATAGCTAATAGGAAAAGCCTCTGTTCCTGGCCTCCTGCTAGCACACGTCAGGTGAACATGGGGCTGTCATGCTAATGTGTGCAAACTCAGAAAACTCCAAGAATGGGAGTCCTGCGTTTTCATCAAATAATTGTTAATAGAAATAGTATAATTCTTGCTCATTGATACACCATGCATATTCTATTTAGATAATAAAAAATTTCTGACATTTGAACTATACTTACACATAGACATTGAAATGTATGGATGAAATATTGTGGCTGATACAGGCAATGGTTTTACTGGCATTTTACAAACTGATCGTCATTCCTCATGGCATGGGTCCATGTGACATTAAGTAGCTTGTTATGTTTGGGAAAGGCAGTGATGACCACAAGAATGACTTCAACTATTAAAATGCTGCAAATTCATGTTTGAAATATTTGTTCAGTATGCTCAAGTTTTTCTCACTAATAACTGTCACCCATATCATGCAGAGTTCTCTGTCATCCAATTCTCTAGATGCCCCTCTTCCATTATATCCAGCCAATTGCTGTTGCCTTGAGCCTACAATCGCGGGGAAGGCAGGGGCTGCCCTGCCTCCCTCATCAAACAAGAATCAACTAAACCAGTTAAATACCGATACCAAAAGCCATTTATCTGCACAGATATGAAATAATCGTTTCACTAACAGATAATAAACCTTGCTTTGCAGCTCTATTATCATTTCAGTGTGGTTAGCCTGAATTCCTGATGCTCACCAAAGGTGTGTAATGTCCTCCAAGGCCCAGTGCAGAGGAACACAGGTGTTGCCGTCAGACTGCCAGGAGTCGATCCTTCAATCCTCACCCGGGAGCTCCCTTTAGCTAGGAGTCAACCAGGAGTGACATGAGTGCTTTTAGTTCTAAAGTTCAGAGGATGACTATACGTTTACACACCTAGGCACACACCAGAAGAACTTTGTCTCAGGTTCAAGGTAAATTAGCATGAGGAGTTGTGTCCCTCAGATTCTGTTCGCCACAGGTGCCTCCTGATAGAAACCCCAGAAGCCTGCTACTGCACAATCCCCAGCAGAGTGTTGACTGCAGTTCAATCAAAGGCTGAGTGTTTGGCAGAGGCAGAAGAAAGGCCAGGTGTTCTGGGAAGATCACCTTTAAATCCCACACAGCACCCTCCCAGCCCCCAGAGACAGTTCTTATATTATGGCAAGAAACCTGGAAAACACCAAATCCAGACTATTTTACATATTTCCTTTCTCTTTTTGTTTCATGCCCCCTCCCCTCAACCTCCCAAGCAGCACGGATACCCGAAGGCCTGGGAACTCTCTCCCATTGGATCTTACATAGAAATAATTACCCCAAATCCTCATCATCGAATGTACTCTCCACAATCAAATCTTCAGAAACACAAACACCAGGATAAGTCATCAGAGAGGCCCACACTCCTCCCACACCCCAGTTGAAGCCCGGTGCACTTCACACAGGATCCCCTAGTGGCTTTCTCTGGTTCACAGGCCATCCTCAGCCTCTCTCGACAGCCTGTTTTTATCACCGTCATCCACTCCTGAATGATCTTCCCAAAGGGAGCCCAGAATCAGGTTTCTATACCTAAAGACAGCGGTATTTTCTCAGGAGAGTAGGTTATTTGTGAGAGTACGTGCCGTTTTCACTATAAATGACTCCTGCAATTGCTAAAGCAGGAGGGTGAAATGATGCCATGCATGTCACACAGATCTGATATTCTCTCTTAACAAGAAAATTAGAGGATATAGTGGTCAGTCAAAAAGTGAACTCCACAAACTAGCAGAATTTTGAGGAAAGACAAGACCTTTTCCCACATAATTTATCTTTAAAGTGTATTTAGATTGGCAGTTTCAACTCTTATATCTGTCCACAGAAGCCTGCTGTGGAGGAAGCACCCTCTGCATTGCAGTGGATCGTGGATGCTGCCATCCCCACACCGTGTATTGCTGACATGGGCTGGTGAGCTACTAATCAATAGCACCACACCAAGGGAATTGCAGATGTCATAAATAATGCACACTGCCAGATGTTCATATCTACATCAATTGGAAAGAACTAGGAAAATATCATTTCACCTGTTCAAAGAAAAAGTGTCTTACCTTGGCAGCGTCTTTTTACAGATGTCTTGCCACCTGATTAGTACTCGTGCTAGCTCATTATTGATGATCTCTATAAGTCTCATTCTGATCTTTGTACAGTGTCATTGAAATGTCTGTGCAGGTCCTGGGAGCTGACAGAAGTAAAGGTCAGTGCCCACAGGTGGTGGAGACTGTGAATCACCCAGGGAGCTTGCTTGGTGTGGTGCATGGAGGTGGCTGATCACAGCATGGGCCGAGCTGATGCTGAGCCATCTCAGGTGATTTCACCAGTAAACTAAGTTATGACAAGCTTTCTGCAGTGGGAGAATCAACTTTGTGGTTGAATGTGCTTTATCAGTGAACTGGAGAAATACAAAAACCAGGTCGATCCATGAATCACTCTGCCCGGGAGCTCCTTTAAGCTAGGAGTCAATAGCAAGGATGGAAACATGAGTGCTTTTTAAAGTTCTAAAAGTTCAGAGGATGACCATGTTACCTGCACCTGGGCACACACACCAGGAGGGCACATCTCCAGGTTCAAGGTAAGTGCTTGTGAGGAGTTGTGTCCCTCAGATTCTGTTGCATACAGGTGCCTCCTGATGAAACCCCAAACCTCTTCTGCACAATCCCAAGCAGTGTTGACTAGTCCAATCCAAAGGCTGTGATGTTAGCAAAGTAGAAAAAGCCAGGTGTTCTAGGAAAGATGTCACCCAAATCACACAACACCCTCCCAGCCCCAGAGACAGTTCTTATATTATGGCAAGAAACCTGGAAAACACCAAATCCAGTTTGACACATATTCCTTTCTCTTTGATTTCATGCCCCCTCCCCTCAACCTCCCAAAGCAGCACGGATACCCGAAGGCCTAGGGCTCTCTCCAGCTGGATCTTACCTGGAAAGTAGTTACCTATAAAATCCTGTAAATCAGATCACATATGCCTCACAATCAAATCTTTGAAACACAAACACCAGACCAAATCATCAGAGAGAGAGGCCACCCACTCCTCCCACCCCAGTTGAAGCCCGGTGCTTCACACAGGATCCTGGTGTTTCCTCTGGTTCTGAATATCCTCCAGCTCCCTCTCTCTGACATTGTTTTATGCCACAAAATCATCCATACCCTTCCGGCTTTGGATCTTACCCACAAAAGGCCCAGATCAGTTCATCTTCCTAAAGACAGCGTTTCCCTCTGGGAAGTGAGTTGTTTGAAATGCAGTACATTTTCCCTCTGATGGCTCCTCTGTCCTACAAAAGCTTGGAAGATGCAAATAATTCACCATGCATGTCACCTGAATCTGATATTCTCTCAACAACCCGAAAATTAGAAGGGATATAGTGATTGAATCAAGGGTGACTCCCCAAGTATGGAGGACACCTGTGAAAAACAGACCTTTCCCATAATTTATCTTAAGTGTTGAATTGTAGTTCATCTTCATCACAGAGAAGCCTGCTGTGGAGGGAAGCACCTCTGCATTGCAGTGGATCGTGGATACCATCCACACACCTGTGTGTGACAGGTTGGTGAGAGGCTGCCAATCAATAGCACCACACCAAAGGGGAATTGCAGATGTCAACAAACCAGCCACCACCAGATCATTCATCTCTATCTGATTGAAGAACTAAAATATCATTTCTGTTCAAGAAAAGTATCACCACCCCTGTGGCTCTTTTACAGAAATGTCTGCGCCTGGCATGCTGAGGTGGCATCAGTGCCCTGCAGCAGCCTCATTAGTGATCTCATATAGGGCGTCCTCATTACCCAGATCTTTGCAGTCATGTTGCGATGTCTACAGGTCTATAGGAGCTGAGCAGGCTCAAGGTCCAGTGCCCTGGTGGTGGAGACTGTGAATCACCCAGGAGCTTGCTTGATGTGGTGCATGGTGGCTGATCACAGCATGGGCCGAGGAGCTGATGCTGGCGTATCTCAGTTGGACCTGTGCTAGTAATCAGGGACATGACTCAAACGCTTTCTGCAGTAGAATCAACTTCCCGTTTAAGTTCAGATATGCTTTATCCAGTGAACTGGAGAAATACAAAAAATCGGGTCGATCCGCTTCCGTCCTCCCAGAGGCTCCTTTAGAAAACCTGAAGTCATGTAAAGGATGGAAACATGAGTGCTTAGGTCTAAGGTTCAGAGAGACAACCATGTTTTCACACACCACACCTGACTACACCAGAGGCTTTGTCTCCAGGTTCAAGGTAAGTGCTTGTGAGGAGTTGTCCCTCAGATTCTGTTATTACAGGTGCCTCTGATGCAGCTAACCCTCTTTCTGCTGTCCAACAGTGTTGACTAGTCAATCAAAGGCTGTGATGTTTGTAGAAGCAGAAGAAAAATGAGGTGTTCTGGGAAAGATCACCTTTAAATCACACAGCACCCTCCCAGCCCCCAGAGACAGTTCTTATATTGGCAAAAACACAAGAAAACACAAATCAGTTTGACACATATTTCCTTTTTCTCTTTGATTTCCTTCCCCCTCCTGCTTCCAGCCAGCTTACAGGAGTACCAATTCTGGGCTTTCTACATTGGATCTCACAGACAGTTACCACAATCTGCTGATCCCAGATATGCTCTCTAATCAAATCTTCCGGCCTAGCACCAGGATAAGTCATTGAGGCCCACCCTCCTCCCACCCCAGTTGAAGCCCGGTGCTTCACAGGATCCCCTAGTGTTTCCTCTGGTTCACAGACATCCCTCCAGCCTCTGGACATTGTTTATCCCTGCAAATCTGCTCACCATTACAGTCTTCTTCCCAAGGAGCCCAGAATCAGGTTTCTATACCTAAAGACAGCGTTTTTCCCTCAAGAAGTGGTCTTTGAGTCGTACCGTTTCACTATAAATGACTCCTGCAATTGTCTCTCAAAAACAGAGGTGATAATTACCAGTCATGTCTGAGATGTCTACAAATATTCTCTCAACCCAGAAAAAATGAAGGGATATAGTGATTGAGTCAATTGAACTCCCCAAACTGTGGGAGGACACCTGTGGAAAGAACTAGTATTTCCACATAATTTCGTTATCTTTAAAGTGTATTTAGTTAACCATTCAATATAATCCACAGGAAACCTGCTGTGAATACCTCTGCGCTGCAGTGGATCGTGGATGCTGCCATCACCACCCCGTGTGCCCGGCATGGGTGGTGAGAGGCTGCCAATCAATAGCACCACACCAAGGGAATTGCAGATATCTTCAATATTTTTATACTAAGATACTGTCATCATCCAATTGGAAAGAACTAGGAAAATCATTTCTATTGAAAAAAATTATATTACAATCTCTTTTTAGATGTGTGTACAGCATGCTGATTGGTATTGTGTACAGCGGCCTCATTAGTGATCTCATATAGGGCGTCCTGCTGTCTTTGTACAGTGTCATTAGCGATGTCCTGTGGTCCACGGAGGCTAGGAAGGCAGAGTAAAGGTCAGTGCCCTGGTGGTGGAGACTGCTGAATCACCGGAAGCCTGCCAGTGGTGCATGGAGGTAGTCCAGCTGGGCAGGCCAGTGCAGGCTGCATCTCTCCCAGTGGACCTGTGCTAGTGACCCAGAGACATAGCTCTAAACTCACCCAGTGGGAATCAGCTTCCAGGTTCAGATATGCTTTATCTGCAGTGGGAATCAGCTTCCAGGTTCAGATATGCTTTATCCAGTGAAGTGGGGAAATACAAAAAAATACAAGTTGACAAATTCATGAAAAGCCCTCCATAAGTGCAAGTGTGATTTTTTTTGTTAACCACTTTACATTCAGCATACATTCACACATACTAAATATTTTTACAAGAAATCAGAAATCTTAATTTTTATCAGTTATGTTAAATCTAACTTAGCTGTCAACATAAAGATGCTATCTCATTTACTCTGTGGTCTCCAGAAAATCTAACACATAGTAAGTAGACCAAAATGTTTATTAAATGAAAACAGAGCAGGGGCAGGGGGGCTGGTAGGCAGACCGGGTTGCACCTGATTACCTGGATGATAATAAACTGCACAAAACCTCGGTCAGATTAATATTGAAACTGCCTTTTGCTTGGGCTCTTTCCTCTTGCGGAAGGAGAATGACCAATAAGATGAACAGGAAAGAAATGAGAAACAGAGGTCTTTGCTTAGGAGCTAAAGGCCACCTTCTGTAACACAAAATAGTCTACAAGTGGCCTTGAACTCTGCTGTGATTCAGTGACAGAGTTCGCTCATGTCGTCTACCCACGTTGAAGTCCAGCGACATTGTGACTGTCTTCTTTACAATTTGCAAGACATGCTGCTTCTGCATTTGCCTGTTGCATGAGATTTACACTTGTTTTAAAGCCACGTTTTGTTTCAGTTGGGTTGGTGGCCATACACTGCACTAGCCAGTCAATAGTGAGATAGCTCCTCATGGAGGCGGCTTGGCTTGAGGCTGAGGGTCTTTAACCCACATGCACAAGACAGTTGCCATGAGGGGACGGAAGCCAGGCTAATAACCAAGTGCTGCACAGAGTTCCCATCTGTCCCTCCTCACCATTTTCAGCTGGCAGGATTTGAGCATTTTAGGGCTTGGGAAGATAATATTACTAAATCTACTAAAATACATCACCCGTCCTTATAGGCTTTGGCCAGTTACTGAGCAAATTAACTTCACAACTGAAGTGGGCTGCACTGGCCTGCGTGGTCCCTCACTCCTCTTAGAATCTGTGAGTGTGGGGCTTACTGGAGGGTGGGAGGTGGGAGGAGGGGGAGGATCAGGACAAATAGCTATTAGGCTTAACATATGGGTGATGAAATCTGTACAACAAACTCTCAACACATGTTTATGTATGTGGCAAACCTGCACTCCCTGCACATGTACCCCTGAACTTTAAATAAAAGTTAAAAATAAAAGAAAGGATCTGTGAGCTGACCCAAACCCCCGGGGATCTTTGTGCTTTTGACACACTGATAACTACGCCGGTCCGTGGGGAGATGCGCCTAGAACTGCCCTGGGTCGTGTGACCATGGAGGCCACTTTATGATAATGGGCAGTGTCTGGGACCTCTTAGGCTCTGTGCTTTAGGGCTTATACATGAATGCTGGACTCCCTGCGTGGTGGTGAACACCCATGACTAAGTGCATGTCAGCGTCAGCACTGGCCCCCTCTCCTGGGTTCCTGTTTTCACTTTTTCATTCAGGAACTCAGGAGCTGGGGCCACTCCCTTGGCCCTTCAGGTTCTCCACCTGAGCAGTGGGGATAAGAAGCCAGACCCAGGGATGGTTCTGGTGAGGGTGGAGGAGTCACTGGTACAGAGAGAGTAGAGGGGATGGATTTTATTGTTGGAAGTGGACACTGGTGATTGAGTTGTATAAATGGGAAATCTCTCCTGAGAAAACACACAGCCTCACCTGTACAAAAACACACACTCACACACACACACCCCCCGCCCGAACACATCACATGATGCAGCCTCACACAAGACACCACCAATCCTCAAGCACCCAACTCGGTACCACCCAAAAGGCAGCACAGCTGCTTCCTCAAAAATTGGCCATAATTTTTTCCCTGGGGAACTCGGGTTTTTTACAAACACTTCCACTCTGCTTATTCCTATGACAATCCCAGGCTCAGGGTGGCTCTTCACATTGAAACCTGCAAGGATGCCACACCTTTCTTTGCATTCAGATTGCTTTCTTTGCAAGTAATTCCAGAATACTTACTAGAGTCACACCTCAGAGGGACCACCTGCACCACCTGCAATACAGAAACAAGACTTCATGAGGGGTACGTCGTGTTGTGGATTGTTTGTACAAGGCTCTGTTTCTCTCAGTGAATACTGAAAACAAGGTCAGAAAGTGTGGTCAAATTCAAGACCCCCCAAACAAGGGTAGGATACACACTAGAAAAGATATCAGCTTCTGGATGGTGGATCCCTCAGGTCCACGTAGGTTGGCAAGTGCAAAATACTGAATCCAAGGAGAAGACATTGCTTCCAAGGACAAGGACCCCAAGGATACAGTCTACAACCCGAAGCCATCATAGGTAAATGCCATTTTGGATTACATATCAGGTGCTAAGAGTCGCTTCTTCTGTCCCCTCAGAACACTGCATTTAACATCTGTAATGGACATTGTCATTTTTTCACATGTAAACTCAGTTGAACAAGAAAGACGCCAAGAAAGGAACATTTCTATTTCAGGGAAAGGAAAGCAACCTTACCCTCATATTGAACGGCCCCTCTCCATCTCCTCTGTCCTTGAGAGCTGGAGATTCCTCAGAGGCTGGAAGGACACAGAGCAATGGTTAGTCACAGATGCTTTTGTTCATGAGTTATTCAGGGAGCTCTGCTTAATGTGGACAACACGACAGTGTGTGTGGATGTGTTTCATTAAAAGTATTGTCTAATTGTACTTATATGAAGTGCCTAGAATAATCAAATTCATACAAGAGAAGGTGGGATAGGAATTACCATGAACTGGAAATAGGGGGAAGGCGCTATATTGCTTACTGTGGACAAGGTTTTGTAAGAAATCATCAAAATCATGGGTGTAGATAGTGGTGTTGGTTATGCAACACTGTGAATATTTTTAATGCCACTGCATGCACACTTTGGTTAAAAGGTTCAAATGATAAAGATTGTGTTACGTATATTTTCCCACAGCAGAAAACACACACAGCCAAGCCCAGATGCCAGTCTTGCTAGCAGCCTGCCTTTACCTTTAAGACTGGGCCAGGGCTCACAGTACTTTGGAATCTTGTGCTCGAAATAGTCTGCATTGGAAGAGAAATTAATGGAGAGAGGAGAAAACTTGAGAATCCACACTACTCACTCCACAGGATCAACAACTCTCTCTCCCGTGCACTGCTGATCCATCTCAGTATTTCCTGTGACCACCTCCTTTTTCAACTGAAGACTCTGCACCTGAAGGGGTTCCCAGGTTTTTCACCTTGGCCCTTGTCAGGACTGATCCTCTCATCTACTGATCCTCTCATCTACTGTCCATTTCACCTCCATTCATGTCCATGCCACATCAGGCTGTGTTGTCCAGATGGAATGAATCCACCCCAAATGTCCCTTTCTGGAGGAAGCCACCATTAGCTTGGCCAACACAGTAAAACCCTGTCTCTAATGAAAATACAAAAATTATCCTGGCATGGTGGTGTGTGCCTGTTGCCCCAGCAACTCAGAATGATGAGGCATGAGAACTACTTCAACCCGGAAGGTGGAGGTTACAGTGAGCCAAGATTGTGCCACTGCACTCTACTCTGGGTCTCAAAAAATGTATATATTGACCAAAATATCATTATGCATTACGTGACTATATATGAATGCTCAAAGCTACATTACTCATCATAGAAAAAACCAATTAAACGTCCATTAACTGATAAATGAATAAACACTATCTGTATGAATAAACACAGCAGACTATGAAGGAAAACACACGACCAGCACGTGCTAAAGCGTCAACTAACTTCAAACATAGTATGCCAAATGAAGGCAGATTCCAAATATGTATATATATATATATATGTCCTTTTCTATTAAGGAAGCGGGAAATTTATGGAGATGGAATATCATAGCAGCACTGCTCAGGGCTGGAGATGGGAGTGGGGATTAACTGCCAGTGGGCAAGAACTTGGGTGAGGGAGACATTTTTAAATTAGATCATGGTGATGGGTGCACACAGTATCAATTTAATAAAACATCAAATTGTATACATTTTCAGTGGGCAAACTTTATGATGGGGTCACGCCCAATATAGGTGTTAAATGTTATGAAAATTCTTGTCCGGTTTTTAACAAGCCAAGAGATATGCTGCTAAAGCAGCATTAATTCAAATGGTTGTCATAGATCACTTAAAGTTTATAAGATAGTTGTCCTGTAAATATATGGTGAATGTTACCCATGAATTTCCTCAATCTATTGTAATAATCACATTGTTTCTCCATTAACCTCTTGAGGTAGCTACTTTACTGCATTTTCAATGTTAATCGACCATTTCATATTTTGAGATTAACCTGCATTAGTCAGACTTTACAGTATTTTAAAATATCACAGGATTTAATTTACCTTATCTGGTTTTGGTTTCAAGACTATGCTAGCCATTTCATTTAATTGTTCATGTAGGGTATTCTAATTCATGGAAAAGCATTACATTTTCCTTGATTTTTTTTTTTTTTTTTTTTTAAAGAAACTACTTCTAGGGATTTATATGAGGTACAGTCCATGGAGAATTGTTTTAATTCTTCATTCATGTCTTCAATGGGTATACGGTTGGTCATATTGCTCATATTTTTCTGCTCGAATTTCAATAGGAAACTTGTGGAAGATCCTGAAGGGTGGCATCTTTGAGGGAGCCGAGACAAGCTAAGGAGGAGGGCAGTGCCACAGCAGAACTGCTATTGATGCCCCCTCACCTAGATTCCAGAAGAGACATCCAGCTATAGACACTGAGGTGCAGGAAAACAGTGTAGCACCCAGCACCCATCAGAGAAAGCAGTGCCCAGGAACATGGAAGCACTGATGGTGGCAAGGGGAAAAGACAGCTGCCATGAGGCTGTTCACATGAGGGTCTCAGGCTGCACAGACACCCACATTGGCTGACGGGTACTGGTTTTCATAAAGGTGTGGCTCAGCCAGACCACCAACAAGCAGTTAACAAACAGTAGTAATACGACACTTCCAAAGACCTTACTTGAGTAACATGGTGATCCTCACAAATTTCCAATCACGATGGTCGCACAGTTCCTTCTGCTTTAGGACACAGAGCCTGCCCGTGTCTGTCCTGTCGACCATGGGTCAGAGGTACAGGATGCACTGGGGAGTAAGAATGTCACCTTCTCAACTTTGGGAAAACTCCCTGCTAGAACTGAGAATGGCCCTTTCTAAGCAGAAGGCAAGCTCAGACTAAAGGAGGCGGCCGACCACATCCAGATGGCAGATTGCCAAAGATTCATTCAAGGAGAACCCACACCCTGGGCTATCTTGGGTGGTGGCAAGATGAGAGATCACCGCTTTTGCAACACATACCTGACAACAAAAAATCAACTGTAAAAGCCAGAAAAATCCCCAAATATTTGCAAATTAGCATTGCACTTTTAAATAACTCATGGGTTAAAGAAGACGTCTCAGTAGAAAGTTAAAAATACCTTTAACTACCTTAAATGAAAATATGACTTGACAAGATTTCTAGATGTAACAAAAGCAGTCCGTAAAGGGAAATTTGTAGCATTGGACGCAATGTATTAAAAATCACAAGATGTAAAATCAGTAATATTATGTTTCAAGTAGAAAACTGTAGAAAATAAAGGAATGCAATGTAAAGCAAGTAGAACACGTAATAAACAACATTGCAGAAGTCAATAAAATTAAAACGCTGAAATAATCAGAAAATCATTAAAACCAAAAGCTGGTTCTTTGACATGCTTATTACAATGAAGGAACTTCTATGCAAGCTAACCAAGAAAAAGGTGGTAACAAAAATGACCAATTTCAGAAATAAAAGAGGAGCCATCTCGACTGAACCATTGAGCATTAAAAGGATAATCAAGGAATATTATGTACAATTCTATGACCGCAGTTCGATAACCTCAGTGAAATGTGTCAGGTCCTTGAAAGACACTCTTCCCAAGGTCACAATAGAATCCTAGATAATTTGAATAAGCTCGTATTTATTAAATAAGTTGAATTCACATTAAGAGCATTCCAAAAAGGAAAGCACCAGACGAGGATGGTTTCTCTCATGAAATCTACCAAATTCTTCGAGGTAAATAAAGACAGAAATCCATTTAATGCAATATTATTTGGTGATTTAATGTGCATTTTATGCCATTAAGGCATAAAAAAGACAAGAAGGAAGCTTAAATATATATCAATTTAGTGAAATACATTTATCTGAAAAACCTACATATGATTCCAGCTATATGACATTCTGGAAAAGGCAAAACTGAAGCCACAGTGAAAATTATTATTTTTTTTTGGAGATGGAGTCTCGCTGTGTCACCCAGGTTGGAGTGCAGTGACGCAATCTCCACTCACTGCAAGCTCCGCCTCCCGGGTTTACGCCAGTCTCCTGCCTCAGCCTCCGGAGTAGCTGGGACTACAGGCGCCCCCTGACCTTGCCCGGCTAGTTTTTTGTATTTTTTTAGTAGAGACGGGGCTTCACCATGTTAGCCAGAATGGTCTCGATCTCCTGACCTCGTGATCCACCCACCTTGGCGGAAAGTGCTGGAATTACAGGCTTGAGCCACCACACCCGGCCCACAGTGAAAATATTAATAGTTGTCAAGGTTTCTGGAGAAAGAGGACAGAGATTAATGAGTGAGAAGAGGGGATTTTTAGGGAGGTGAACATATTCTTTATGAGAACATAATGGTGAACACAATGTTATCAATATTTCAAACGTCATATTAAATGTGTAACAAAGAATGAATGTCATGTAGAAGATAGACTCCAGATATGTCAATATTTTCTCATTACTTTTCGCAAATGTACCACATTAATGTAAGATGTTAATAATAGATGAAATTAGGAAGTGAGGGTGAGGGGACAGAAGGATATGGGAACTTTGTGTATTATATGCTCAATTTTTGTTTGTTTGTTTGAGATGGAGTTTCACTCTTGCTGTCCAGAGTGGAGTACAATGGCGTGATCTTGGCTTGCTGCAACCTCTGCCTCCCAGGTTCAAGCAGTTCTCTTGCCTCAGCTTCCTGAGTAGCTGGGATTACAGGCGCCTGCCACCACACCCGGTTAATTTTTTGTATTTTTAGTAGAGAAGGGGTTTCACCATGTTGACCAGGCTGGTCTCCAACTCCCAACCTCAGGTGATCTGCCCGCCTTGGCCTCCTAAAGTGTTGGGATTATAAGCATGAACCACCACGCCCAGCCATATGCTCAATTTTTATGTCAATTTAAAACTCTCTAAAGAAATATATTAATTTAAAAATAATAAATTTTTATTTTATTATAAATAATAAAAATTTATTTATTATCTTCCAGGGAGATCTATGCTAATGTTTAACAACCGGGTAAGTTCTAGACATTAGCTTGAAACATTATCCATCATTAAATATGAACCAAAATTGACTTTTAAGTGTATATTTACTTTTGTGGTCGTAGCTATACTTACTAAGCAAATTAGAATTCTGACACATTAAATAATGTGGGTTAATCTCTTCATAGATTCCTCTTACATAGGGGACACTGAATACTCCCCACAATGGTGATTATTGAATCAACTTAATGAATGGACTTCCACAGTACCTTCTTGTGGGTATAGCGTCTTCTTTCCCCAGAAGCCATGATGCCTCTGACGTTGGGTGGTGTATATGCTGTATCTTCTCAAAATTTCTATGAGAGAAGATGCTGGTTAATGCATTTACAATAGAGAGGACTGTTGACATCTTGCTGACAGAAGGCCAGAGGGAAAATAGTCATAATCTGTTCTAAGTTTAATTTTATGATCCTGGTCTTTAAAGGCTTTCAAGCAGAACCTGCTGAATCAAAGTTGGGTTTCAGGAAGATCACAGAGTTTACTGAGCACTCAACACCCCTCTCAGACAGACCATAGGCGTGAAGACTGACTCCATATCATACAGAGACAACTTAGATCTTTCTTCTCAGAAGCCCAATAGTCTTCAGAGGAACCCCCCATTCTTACACAACTGTCATCCAAGTCTCAGGCAAAAGCCCCCAATATTTTGTAAAATTTGAGCGATCACAGCTGTACTAACTTTTATGTTATTACAAAGCTTTGCCCTCTTTTATGTGTGTTTCTCCTAGGAAAAACGTGTTTACCCAGCACAACTCTAGTTAATAAGAAATAGAAGGAACTACTGGAAGAAAGTGTGGAAAGAACACACGAGGTAAAATTTGACTTAAAATGACCAGTCTCATTCACTAACCTCACCATAGTCTTATGCGTTTAATGGACCTGTCCAATCCTTTGCTCTGTTCCCTCCATCACCTTCCTAATTGTCCTCCACCACTCATGTAATAGAAACATTGCACAGGGGAGCTAATCATCTCTTCTATCCCCCACTTCAGGCTCACCCATAAGTTTACAGTAAAAGCCTTTTCAAATGACTGCTTTAACTGCTGCTACGGCTCGTATCATCAGTTGAATGGGAACTCTCATGTGACTTTACAAATCCTTTATTGAGAGATATGATTCAATACTGGGATACAATTCTAGTGTAGTAAATCATTGATTTTACATTATGAAGATCATCAGTTATTGAAAACGTATAAATAATGAAGCCCAGCCTTACTGCTCAATGCTATGTGTGTAAATCCACTGAGCGTGCTGACTCCCATGCCTGCACCCACCTGCTAACACGGGGAGGGTCCATTCAGAAGGAAGGCACAGCTCCAGCACTGATGCTCTCCCACCAGCTTTACAAGAGAGTTGCCATAAGGACGACGGACACCCGGATAACCACCAAGTGGTGATTTGAGTACTTAATGATCATGATCCCTAAAGTGTGTAGCTCAGAGGGCTTGTGGTGATAACTCCATCCAAAGCATCTCCCCAATTCTTATTGGACTTGAGCCATGTCTTGAGGAGACCCAGCCATGACATGCAGGAACCATACTGTCCTACTTAGTGACTCCCTTAGTGTTTCAGAACCTGTGATTTGATCAGAAACATGGGCTTTCTACGTTGCTTTCACACTAAGGACTATGTTAAACCTGCAGGGTGATGCCTACATAGCTACCTGGATTCTGAGATCACTGAGGCTCTCTTATGTGAGGGATGGTGTTTGGAATCTCTGCAGGCTTGGATAATTCCAGGCATAGAGGGTGCTGGAACTCCCTTGCATGGTGAATAGTGATCCCTTCACTGGATGATTAATAGAGGCTGTAGTTCAGGCCTTCAACACTGGGACCATATGAGTAAACATCTTGGCTCCTCACTTTGTAGCAAGTGAGCGGGGGCACATTTATTTCTGTGGCTTAGTTTCTCCATCTGGCATGGGGGTTCAATAAACAAGCTCACAACATATGACCATGAGGAGGTTTGAACTAATGTAAGTAAAGTATGTGGTCTGATTTGTTAAATTAAGAAAAATGGCACTGAGAGTTGTGCTGGGCAAACACATTTTTTTCCTGGGGGAAACACACAGACACACATTCACAAGCGAATCATGCAGACTTGCACATAGACCACCCCCAGCCCGCACTAATACACACACTCCCACACAACCTAATGCAAACACGTTTCCAGGAATTATACATAGATAAAAGGAGTTTGTCACCTGCAAAACCAGTTTCTCTTACTACACCCCACATCCTCATTCTCCCCGGGTCTTGGATTGTGGAGACTCTCCAGGCAAAAGCCAGCAGTTAGGCTCCACATTTCCTATAGAATCTTTCTCTAACAGCCAGTGAGTGATTCCAGAATACGTACCATTGATTGTGCTCGAAGAAGTCACCTGTAATTAGAGAAGGAAACACTCTGAGAATCAGGCCATGCTATGGATGGTTCACACGGGTCTTTTGTTCACTTGGAAACTGAGTAACGAAGGTGGGAAAGGATGTTCAAGTCAAAAGCCTCAACTCTAGAGTAGAGTTCCCTTAAGAAAGCACAGGGGCTTTTCCTGAAGAATGCTTCTGTCTAGATAATTTTTGGGTGGCAATTCCAGAATTCCTATCTAAAGTGGAAAACTTGTTCCTGAAGAAAATATCCCTTAACACACACTGTACTATCTGACATGGCCAACTGTGTATGTCCTCTGGAATCAGGCGTCAGTTGGTAAGATACACCTCCTCCATTCCCAAGGATATATTATCTAACATCTATAATGTACCGGTTAATTTTCCCATAGCTGATAACAACTGAAATATAAAGGAACCAAGAAAACAACATTTACATCTTAGGCAAAGACAGGCTACTTTACCGTGGTGGTAGAGCAGGGCTCCCTTTTCACATGCTTTTTGGAAGGCTTCTTCGAGTCACCTAGGGGATGTGGAAGGACACAGCATGGCTGTCAGTTCATTGGTGATGCTATTCATGAATGACTAAGGGACTAGAACTTAGAGGTGTGCCTGGTTAACAAGCACAGATTGAGCTTCTCCTGGACCATCCTCTTCATGGACCAAGGAAGACAAAAAAGAGCAGGAAGGAAGTGGGAGTAGAGCCCTTGGCTTTCCAGGTAATGGCAAATGAAAGCAACGTGAAATAATCAAACTCCAAATAAACAAATACTAAAATACATGCTAGGATTCAACCACAGCGTCCTGTCACTTCTTCAGACCCTTTAAAAACCCAGCAGGATGGCCACTACCTTCTTGACATCTACCAAGTCCCTTTCAACCTCCATAGACCCAAGTACACTGCTACCACATTTATCATGGAGGGTATAGGGTTCTGCTCTTGTTTATGTGTGAATTTTTTAAAAACTAGATTTAATTCCATACACTAGCATTAATTATATTTATTTTCTTTGTTAAAAAAATAATCGGCCAGGTATGGTGGCTCACACCTGTAATCCCAGTACTTTGGGAGGTCAAGGCAGGTGGATCATTTGAGATCAAGCATTCAAGACCAGCCTGACCAACATAATGAAACTGCGTCTCTATTAAAAAAAAAAAAAAAAAAAAATAGGCATGCTGATGTGTGCCTGTCATCTCAGCTACTCGGGAGGCTGAGGCAGGAGAATCCCTCAAACCTGGAGGCGGATCAAACCTGGAGGCGGAGGTTGCAGTGACCTGAGATCGTGCCACTGCACTCCAGCGTGGGCAACAGAGTGAGACTCCATCTCAGGAAGAAAAAAAAAAAAAGGCCAGGTGCAGTGGCTCATGCCTGTAATCCCAGCACTTTGGGAAGCCAAGGCAGGCAGATCATGAGGTCAGAAGATCAAGACCATCCTGGCTAACACAGTGAAATCCCATCTCTACTAAAAACACAAAAAAATTTGCCGGGCGTGGTGGCATGCGCCTGTTGTTCCAGCTGCTTCAGAGGCTGAGGCAGGAGAATTGCTTGAACCCAGGAAGCAGCGGTTGCGGTGAGCCAAGATCATGCCAGTGCACTCCAGCCTGGGCGACAGAGCAAGACTTTGTTAAAAAAGAAAAAAAGAAAAAAAGCCCACCCTAACCTAAAAATAATCAATTATTAAAGATTAGAAAATACTGAAATACTTATATTTTAAAATAACCACTATAATCATACATTTTCCATTTAGCCTTCCTTTGCCTTGTGTTTACAGTCATCGTGTGAGGGGCTGCCTATGTTCAGCCCAGGCGACCCACAGGGAAAGAGGGCATAGCGGGGAGATGGCCCCTGGTGAGCACTGAGGCTCTTCAAACCAGCTGCCAAGGGAGTTGCTACCAGGGTGATACATGAGGCTAATGATTAACTGGTATTTTGTGTTACTTGTCTTGTCCCCAGGTTGTGTAGCTCACAGAGTTTTTTAACATTTCTATAGAGGTCATTTGAAGTTCATAATGCCATCGAATATCAATAAAGGGTCTTCCCATTATGTATCATCGGCTTTGGTTTATGTGCTGAGGTGTGGCCAAGCACTGAAAGAATGTGACCGGTTGTCCCAAGTGTTGTCCTGCAACTCAAAATCCGCAACCAGTTCAAAAGCATTTGGGCTTTTATGTGCCTTTTACATAAAGACTATGACACAGCTAAGCTATTCATGTACTAATACTTGCCCTGAGCTGTGTGACCACGGACACCACCTTATAATGTGACTAGTGTGTAGAACTCTGCAGACTCAGATCATTCCACACATACATGCAGATGAGGGAACTCCCTTGTACAGTGACTCATGATCCCATGGCTGAGTGCTGAGGACAGGTCGGTAGTTCAGAGCCTTAGCACTGGGGCCGTATGCTTGGGTTCCCATCTTGGGGCTCATAAGCTTGGGCACATTCATCTTTCTGCCCAGTGAAAGGTGACAGTAAATCAATCATGCCATATGTCTGTGGTGATGGCTGAATGATTCAATGTAGGTAAAGTGTACGGTGTAAGTGCTCATGAGGCTTAACTATTATCAGTGAAATGTCTTGCTTTAGATTTCACAGCTTAATAAGGCTCAGAGGCTCATTCAAACCCAGGATTCTGAACTCCCAAGCCATTGGTTCTGTGACATACACCTGCTTGGCCTAAAACCAACCACTTTATCATAATTCAGACCCAGTTTTGAAATAATTAGATAAAGTTGTCAAAAGTGCTATGTCTGAGTGCACACTCTGTCCTCCACACAAAGGACACCACTGTCTGCCACAATGGCCCAGTGGCCTGGCTGGCACAGACGGTGGCAGAGCAAAGGGCAAGAGATCCCTAATCCCATCACCATGGCGATAGGGCATCACAGACATTCCAGGGTGAAGGCACAATCCACCTTGTGAGGTCCAACTGCTGCCATGCGGACAACTGTGCTTTTACATGCACAGGAAGGTCACTGAAGATAAGTGTTTTACATCCATGGTCAACAGATGAGATGACCATGAAATGAACACCAGTGTACTGGGTGGAGCAGCTTATCTATTCAGTCGTCTGCACTAAAACCTGTGAAACGATATCATCTTGCCTTATTTACTAACACATACAAGTGCCTCTAAACTTAGACAGTTTCCAAGTCATGGAACTGATGAGCACTGAACTCCTGCACAGAGCTCTGCATGATGGCTCGGGAGAACCAGGGCACACAGTCCATCCAAACAGCATTAACAAGTCAGCAGGGTTTCAAAGCTCTTTACATGCAAACTCACACAATTATCCCTTTAATTTTTATCTTCATGTATACGTACACGATCTACTTGTTTCTGAGTATAAATAAAAGTGTACGTTCTTAGTTAATAGTCTCTACCAATTCATTCTGTTTATCTTTCTGTGTTGAAATACTGAATTTCATTGGGTAACAAAAAAAAGTCTGACTAAGATTACTCTGGAATGGTGGGTAGGTTGGGTGGTTGACTCTAATTTCCAATTCTATGATTTTGGATACCTCCTAAAGCATAAAAATAAATGTGTGTTTTATTTCACATACAGACAATACACACTTCTTATTACTTTTTAAAATTAATATGTGAATGGACATGACTTACTACAAATTTATTAAACTAAATACACATTTCACAACAAAAGAAGAGAGGAAGGAAAAACTTGTTAAAAACAAAGATAGGTACATTTTATTGTGTGAAAAGCTTCATCCCATCCGTACTACTGTGGCTTTGCTCCAAACTTTTTGAAAGTAATGATTTCAGAGGTTCTTAATTAGGTTAAAAACTACATTAAAATAGACTTTGCCATATTCTTCTCAAGGGAATAACTTAATTTGGGTCGGGGGCATTGAAGGGTGTAGGATGTAAAAGGAAATGATACATTATTTTTTAAATGAAGAAAAAGTTCAAAGGCACCCTGCTTGATACAAGAATCAAATATATAAAGTGAGGAATAAAACATAACCACAAAACGTATTTGTAACTCCATATGGAAAATAGAGGATGATTTTTTAAATAATGTAATTGGAAGTATTAACTAGTAATTTGAAAAGACAGCATTTGGCCTATTTGACAGGCCAGTATGAACATACCTTGAAAGCAGGAAAACCGGTTCCCCATAAGAAACGTCAAAATCAGGAAAAACGAAAGCACAAAAGTTCAATCTGCTCTGACCTTTGAAAAACTCAGCACAGATAGTGGCACTTAGGACCAAGGGCAAGAGATCCCTAATCTCGTGACCATGGTGATAGGGTATCATAAATGTTCCAGGGTGAAGGCACAATCCACCTTGTGAGGTCCAACTGCTGCCATGCAGACAGCTGCACTGTTACATGTACAGGAAGGTCATTGAAGGCTCAGTGTTTTATTTCAGAAACTGAATCCCAAACCCACACATTATTCTGTACTTCTTTTTTTTTTTGAGACGGAGTCTCACTCTGTTGCCCAGGCTGGAGTGCAGTGGCCGGATCTCAGCTCACTGTAAACTCCGTCTCCCAGGTTTACGCCATTCTCCTGCCTCAGCCTCCCATGTAGCTGGGACTACAGGCACCCGCTACCTCGCCCAGCTATTTTTTTGTATCTTTTAGTAGAGATGGGGTTTCACGTGTTAGCCAGGATGGTCTCGATCTCCTGACCTCGTGATCCGCCCCGTCTTGGCCTCCCAAAGTGCTGGGATTATAGGCTTGAGCCACCGCGCCCGACCTATTCTGTACTTCTTAAAATAAGCTATGAGATGGGGAAATAGGATACCCCCAAATATAGCCAATAGTGAGAATTTCAAATGGAAGAGGGGCACAACTGATATTCCATTGTTTTTTCTTTTTCAGCTTTTATGTTAGATTCAGGGTGTACATGTGCAGGTTAGTTACCTGGCTATATTGTGTGCTGCTGAGGTTTGGGGTATGAAAGATCTCAATACCCAGGTACTGAACATAGCACTCAGCAGTTTTTCAACCCTTTCCTTCCTCCCTCCCACTCCTGGCGGTTCTAACGCCTATTGTCACCATCTTTATGTCCATGGGTACTCAGAGTTTAGCTCCTACCTTTAAGAACATGAAGCGTTTGTTTTCTGTTACTACACTAGTTCAACTAATGGCTTCTAGCTCTAGCCATTTTCCCACAAAGAACATAATTTCATTCTTTTGTAGCTGCATAGTATTACATGGTCTATATGTACCACATTTTAATCCAGTCCACTGTTGAGGGGCACCTAAGTTGATCCCATGTCTTTGCTATTGTGACTCGTGTTGCAATAAACAAACGAGTGCATGTGTCTTTTTGGTGGAATGATTTGTTTTCTTTTGGATACATATTCAGTAATGGGATTGCCAGGCTGAATATTAGTTCTGTTTTATGTTCTTTGAGAAATCTCCAAACTGCTTTCCACAGTGGCTGAACTAACTAACATTCCCACCAACAGTGTATAAGCATTTCCTTTTCTCCTTATCCTTGCCAGTGTCTGCTATTTTTTGACTTTTTAAAAACAGTCATTCTGACTGGTATGAGATAATCTCTCATTGTGGTTTTGATTTGCATTTCTCTCATGATGAGTGATGATGAGCATTTTTTCATGTTTGTTGGCTGCATGTATGTCTTCTTTTGAGAAGTGTTTATTTGCCCCCTTTTTAAATGGGGTTGTTTTTTGCTGTTGACTTAAGTTCCTTATAGAATCTGAAATACTAGACCTTTGTTGGATGCATAGTTTGTGAATAATTCCTCCCTTCCTGTAGGTTCTGTTTACTGTGTTGATGGTTTCTTTTGCCGTGTGGCAGCTCTTTAGTTGAATTGGGTCCCACTTGTCAACTTTTGTTGCAATTTCTTTTAAAGACTTAGTCATAAATTATTTCCCATAGCCCATGTCCAGAATGGTACTTCTGAAGTTTTTCTTCCAGGATTATTGTAGTTTTTGAGGTCTTAAATTTTTAATCTAACCTGAGTTAATTTTTGTATATGGTGAAAAATAGGTGTCCAGTTTTTTTCTTTTTTCTTATTTTTTGAGAGAGTCTTGCTGTGTCACCAGGCTGAAGCGCAGTAGCCATTTCAGCTCACAGCAACCTCCGCTTCCTGGGTTCAAGCGATTCTCCTGCCTCAGCTTCCTGAGTAGCTGGGATTACAGGCATGTGCTACCACATCCAGCTAATTTTTGTATTTTTAGTAGAGATAGGGTTTCACCACGTTGGCCACGCTGGTCTCGATCTCCTGACCTCATGATCCTCCCACCTTGGCCTCCCAAAGCGCTGGGATTACAGGCATGAGCCACCACGCCTGGCCACAAAAGTTCTTTTCTATGTATTTATTTATCTCTTTCTTTTTAGAGACAAGGTCTTGCTCTGTTGCCCAGGCTAGAGTGCAGTGGCTACTCACAGGTGCCATCCTTGTGCACTACAACCTCCAACTCCTGGGCTAAAGCAATCCTCCTGCCTCAGCCTCCAGAGTGGCTGGGACTACAAGGGACCTTCACTTTTTAATTATTTTATTGAGCTGTATATTTGTTCTGTGTACTTTAATATAAAAAGCATCTTTTACCAGCCTGCACAGGCTTGTTAGGAACAGTGGTGGCAGAAATACAGGTGCCTAGGACCAGACAGTTCTGTTTTGGTTCTGCCACTGGCTAGCTGTGTAGTCTTGGGCAAGTGAAATAACCTCTTTGAGCCTCATTTTATCCTCATAACAAATTCTTACGGGGTCGGTATGAGGATTAAAATCATGCAGCATATGTTGAGTGAGTGTTTTTTGAACTATAAATGCCTAAACAGATGCACCATTAATGCCCATTCATGCTTACCAGACATCTCCTCGGTGCGGGCATTGTGCTAACGCTTCTTCATGCATCCTTACAGCAAAGTATAACAGCACTCATTTTGTAGATGAGAAACCTGGGATGCAAAGAGACAGCTCGTGAGGGATGGAGTCAGGATTCAAATCCAGGCTGTCTAGTTATGAGGACCAAGACCAGGTGTAATGGCATATGCCTGTAGTCCCAGCTACTTCAGAGGCTGAGGCAGAAGGGATACTCGAGCCCAGGAATTTGAACTATAGTGAACTGTGATGCCACCTGCACTTCTACCTGTGTGAGCGAGGAAGACCCCATCTCTACAAAAAAACTTCTTTGAGAAACTCTACATGGCCAAAAATACTCATTTGATTTTTAAAATCACTTTCTCTTTCATTAGAGAATGAATTAAACCATTTTTTTTTGAGATGGAGTTTTGCTCTTGTAGTCCACGCTGGTGTGCAATGGCCCAGTGTTGGCTCATTGCAACTTCCCCCTCCCAGGTTCAAGTGATTCTCCTACCTCACCCACTCACAATTAGCTGGGATTACAGGCGTGCACCACCATGCCTGGCTAATTTTTGTATTTTTAGTAGAGACGGGGTTTCACCATGTGGGTCAGGCTGGTCTCAAACTCCTGACCTCAGGTGATCCAAATGCCTTGGCCTCCCAAAGTGCTGGGATTACAGGCTTGAGCCACCTCACCCAGCTGAATTAAATAAATTTGTAAGCACAAGAATCATAGTAAATTAAATATCCAAACTCTGCATTATAAAATTTTACATATAAGAATATTTTAAATCAAAAGTTGGAGGAAAAATACAAAAAAGCAAAGGTCCAGCCAGCCATGCTGGCGTGTGTCTGTAGTCTCAGTTACTCAGGAGGCTGAGGTGGGAGGATCACTGGATCCCAGGAGGTAGGGGCTGCAGTGGGCTGTGGTCATGTCACTGCACTCCAGCCTAAGTGACAGACTGAGACCCTGCCTGGGGAGAAAAAGAGCCATCTAACATGTAAATTCAATTATAGAATGTTGCCAATATTAACCGAAGTTACCAGGCCATAGTATTCAGTATATTTTAGGGAAATTCCTGTTAAAATTAGGTTCTCTTCCTTTTTGGGAGGCGGGGTGAAGGGTCTCACTTTGTCTCCCAGGCCGAAGTGCAGTGGCAGAACCACGGCTCACTGTAGCCTCAAGCTCCCAGGCTCAAGTAACCCTCTTACCTCTGCTGACAGAACAGCTGGGACTGCCGGTGTGCATCACCACGCCCAGCTAATTCAGTTATTCATTTTTTATTATTGTAGAAATGAGGTCTCACTATGTTGCCGGGGTGGCCTCAAACTCCTGGTCTCAAATGATCCTCCCACTTCAGCATCCCAAAGTGCTGGGATTACAGTCCTGGGCCACTGCATCTGGCCTGTTCTTAGGTTTAATTTTATATATTTGACTGAATGCTATGAATACCACTGCAAGAAAAGTTTTCATCTGAGATATAATTTATGCTGAATTGTGATTATCACAAACATCCAGGGATAACTAATCATGCACTATGGCCCTAGGTTTTTCTAAAAATGCGGCTCAGTGAATGACTTTGGAGAAAAGGGCAGATGACAGACCTCCAAAAATTCCTTCTACAAAAAAATGGGAAAACTGGCAACAAATGGTCACCATTACCATTTTGATTTTTACTATTATCATTTTTTTTTTAAGATAAAGGGTCTTGCTCTGTTGCCCAGGCTAGAGTTCTGTGATGCAATCATAGCTCACAGCAACCTCATACTTCTGGACTTAAAGTGATCCTCCCACCTCAGCCTCCTAAATAGCTAGGACTACAGGTGTGCACCACCGTGCTTGGCTAAAGTTTTCATTTTTGTAGAGCGGAGGTCTTGCTATGTTGCCCGGGCTGGTTTTGAACTCTTGAGCTCAAGCAATCCTCCCAAAGTGGTCGGATCACAGGCATGAGCCACTGCGCCTGGCCCATTAACATTTTTAGACCTCAGGAAATTAGCTAAAAGCTTGTAATAATCCAGAGGATATTCATTCTAGAAAAACAAACAAAAACAAACCAGTGTAATCTCAGAGCAGTGAGTTTCGTGGCAGTTTAATTTGTCTTTCTCCTGTCTCCTGCTTGGCAGTTCCACAGTAACCCAGAAAATTAAAGTTCACATTCACGGTGAACACCAGCAACCCGACAGCTACTGGAAGAAGCAGAAGAGCTGGATCTCCCTTAAAGCTTTATTTCCAGGAATTATCACAATTGAAGTGTTTGGTGGTTCTCTGTAACACCTGACTTGCTAGACTGCATTTGATCTGCCTTGGAGCTTGCCCAAGGCAAAAAGCCTTTTCAATCTGGCACGATTATGAAAAACAATGACAGGGGCTGGGTGCAGTGGCTCACGCCAGTAATCCCAGCACTTTGGGAGGCCAAGGCAGGTGGATCACTTGAGGTCAGGAGCTGGAGACCAGCCTGGGCAATGTGATGAAATGACATCTCTACAAAAATTACAAAAATTAGCTGGGTGCAGTGGTGTGCACCTACAGTTCTAGCTACTTGGGAGGCTGAGGCAGGAGAATTACTTGAACCCAGGAGGTGGAAGTTACAGTGAGCTGAGATCACGCTATTGCACTCCAGCCCGGGTGCCAGAAGTAAAACCCTGTCTCAAAGGAAAAAAAAAAAAAAAGCAAAGAAAAAATTAGCCAGAGTGGGGACACGCACCTGCAGTTCCAGTGAATCAGGAGGCTGAGGCAGGATGACTGAGTCCAGGAATTTGAGGCTGCAGTGAGCTATGATCTTGCTGGGTGCACTGAACCTGGGCAACAGAGAAAGACCTTAAGAAAACAAAATACAATGGCAGGCAAATGTTTAACTCTGTGGCTGCTTGACCTGGTGGATAACAGCTGGGGCAAACAATAGACTAAAAAGCTAAAAAGGAAAGCTGGGAAATGAGATGCCCATAGGGGTTTGAAATGCTCTGACACATTCCTGGGTATCTAGAAAATGCACAGGTGCACCATGCTCTGAGAAGGGCTCAGTGTGCCTAAACTGCTTTTATAAAACACTGGAGGCCGGGCGCAGCGGCTCACACCTGTAATCCCAGCACTTTGGAAGGCCGAGTTGGGTGGGTCACCTGAGGTCAGGAGTTTGAGACCAGCCTGGCCTACGTGGCGAAACCCCGTCTCTATTAAAAATACGAAAATTAGCTGGGCGTGGTGGCTCATAACTGTAATCCCAGCTACTTGGGAGGCTGAGGCAGGAGAATTGCTTGATACAAGGAGATGGAGGTTGCACTGAGCAGAGATCATGCCACTGCACTCCAACCTGGGCGACAAAGCAAGACTCCATCTAAAATAAATAAATAAACACACTACAGTTAATGCCAAACAGATTTTAAAGAGGACACCAAATCACCAATCCCCACTCAAAACCCTGGACACTCAAGTCTCTATGAGCTTCTCTGGCAGACAGTACTTCATACTGTCACAGTCGTTGTTGGAGAAATGCTGTGTGCCTGTGTGATTTGCTTGGGCAGGATTCTTGAAAGCTTGTGCTTAGCTTCAAGTCGACTTTGCCACATACACCTTTTCCCGTTATTTTGCTTACTATACTTTTGCTGTGATAAATCATAGCAATGTGTATGACTACACACTAAGTCCGGCGGGTACTCCTGGAGAATCACTGAACCTGGGAGTGTTCTTGGTTCCCCATCACTGGCTGCTACACAACACAAAATGCAACCAATAGACACTGTCCCTGAGGAAGTCCAGACACTGCATATACTAGAAAAAAACTCTATGACCTGCTTTAAACATATTCAAAGAATTAAAGGAAACTATGTTTTGTTTTGTTTTCTTCAACTTTTAAGTTCCGGGGTTTATGTGCAGGTTTGTTTGCAGGTTTTTCACAGAAACGTGTGCCACAGTGATTTGCTGCACAGACCAACCCACCACCTAGGTATTTAGCCCAGCATCCATTAGCTATTCTTCCTGATGCTTTCCCTCCGCCCACCCCCCATGACAAGCCCCAGTGTGTATCGTTTCCCCGCCATGTGTCCATGTGTTCTCATCATTCAGCTCCCACTTTTAAGTGAAAACAGGCAGTTTGGTTTTCTGTTTCTGCATTAACTTGTGGAGGATTAACAGCTTCCAGCTTCATCCATGTCCCTGCAAAAGACAGTGTGCGTCTTCTTTTCTCATCCCGAGCACGGCTTATTTGTGCTTTTCTTTTTTTTTCAGTCTCAGATTTTTCTTTTTTTTTTTTTTTTGAGAAGGAGTCTCACTCTGTCGCCCAGGCTGGAGTGCCGTGGTGTGATCTTGGCTCACTGCAAGCCCCACCTCACGGGTTCATGCCATTCTCCTGCCTCAGCCTTCTGAGTAACTGGGACTACAGGCGCCCACCACCACGTCTGGCTAATTTTTTATACTTTTAGTAGAGAAAGGGTTTCACCGTGTTAGCCAGGATGGTCTCAATCTCCTGACCTCATGATCCGCCCACCTCAGCCTCCCACAGTGCTGGGATTACAGGCGCAAGCCACTGAGCCCGGCCTCAGATTTTTCTTTCAAAACGAATTATGCGTTTATTTTCCCTTGGATCTTTATTTTCTATTTCATTGATTTCTGCTTTTTATTATCTCCTTTTAAATTAATCTCTAAGTTCTGCTTTTATTATGTGCTACCAGTTCCAATCTGTAATTTTCTTTTTTTTTTTTTTCCTTACATACAGGTTTTAGTGTGTTTGGTCCACAACTGTATTTCACATTATCTCATGGAGCACAGCCCCTGGGTGGGTGTCCCTGTGCAGTACCTGGCAGAGCATGTGGCTGGGGGAGATGGAGCATTATAACTGTCAGGCCCAGAAAGGGAGAGCTAGGGGCTCCTTAAAACCTACTGAGGGGCCAGGCACAATGACTCACACCCATAAACCCAGCACTTGGAGAGGCCAAGGTGGGCGGATCACCTGAGGCCAGGAGTTCAAGACTAGCCTGGCTAACATGGTGAAACCCTGTCTCTAATAAAAATGCAAAAATTAGCCAGTTATGGTGGAGCACCTGCAGTCCCAGCTACTTGAGAGACTGAGGCAGGAGAATCGCTTGAACCCAGGAGGTGGAGGTGCAGTGAGCCAAGATCGCACCACTGCACTCCAGCCTGGGCAAAAACAACAAAACCTACTGAGGCCACAGTAGGGGTGGGGTGGGGTTAGCATGGAGAGGGGATCAGGCTTAGCCCCAACAACTCAGAATTCCACTTCTTTGTACAGGCCTCACTTTCCCCACTGGGCCGCAGGGCAGGTTGAGGTCCAAGGTCTGTTGGGCCTAGGGAAATCCAGCCACTTGGGGGCCTGAGATATTTAGCTTCATGGCCAGGCCCCCTCTCCCAGGGGACTCATTTCCCAGCACCCATTTTTTTGGGGGGGGGAAATGTATTCTTCTTTTGTTAATACTTCCTGAAACTCTTACAAGTACAGAAACCACAAACTGATCAGCTGACAAAAGGGGGAAAAGGTGAGGCAAGCAGAAACCTTTGGGGACCAGTTCCCTCCAAGCCCAGGTCTCTTCTCCCCAGCACAGCTCGGCCCACAGCCCGCACGTGCCAGCAGGGACCCTCACCCTACACATACCAGAATACCGCCTTGACCCCTTCCCCCACAGCCTGGTGGCTCAGTCCTGCGAAGGACCAAGGCATAGGAGAAAAAAGCCCTGCTACCTGATGCCATGCTGCCACTCACAGACCCTTAGTTGATTGGCAACACCGAAGAGGTTAAGAAAAAAAAAAGATGAAAACACAAAAAAATTTTTAAAAACCCAGACAGGGAGATGATGTGGGGAGAGAATGTGCTGGTAGCCTCAGTAGCCGGCTTCCTCCTGGTAGTAATATATAAGGAAGATATTCAGGAACCACCCCGGACCCAGGCAGTTGCCAGCACACAAGGGAGCCGTGTCGGCCACTGTGCCTTGAGGACAGGACTTGGGGTCGTGTATCTGCCAGCCCAGGCTGGAGACCTGGCCGTTCTGGTTGACATCCTGCGTGTACCCCATATGCAGGGACATGGAGAAGTTGCCACACTTGTAGGTTCGCAGCTTTGTGTCACAGATGTGCCACCGCGCCCCGGGAGCCATCATGCCCACCTGGCCGGCACCCTTGTTTGTACCCATCTGGGGGCTGATGGTCGAGCAGTCCATGGGGGGCAGGGTGTGGCTCTTGGGGTCACAGAGGTGCTGCCTTGTGCTGTATGCGGTCATGCCCAGCTGGCCGGCCCATTCGTTGATGCCCATCTGCAGCCTGATGACACACTGGCCAGCGTTCATGGTGGCATTGTCCAAGTTCCACTCCTGCTTCTCCCAGTACTTGAGGCCAATGTCCACCCTACTCTACAGCCCTTTAGTCTTGGCCTTCCCCACCAGGGCAAGAAGAGACACCTGCAGCTGCGTCATGCTTCCACTCTCAAACATGTTGTTGGTCTCAAACAGGTCCACAGGATTCATCCGTAGCTGACCGTGGCCTTCAAGAAGTTGGAGAGGTTTTCTAGCTGGTGTCAGTTCTGCATGGAGCAGTTGATCTTGGGGACTGAGCCCGGCTGTAGCTGTTCATGAGTGTGCATAAGATAATCCCGTCCTTCAGGCCCTTCTGGAAGTCAGGGCTGATGGAGAGGCTGGTGAGTCCATCCATCTGTGGAGCTCTGCCTCCTTCTACAGGTTATAATTTGGACAAGAGATGCTGCTTGACCTTGGCCGAGGGTCTGTACAATGGGCCCTTGTTGAGCTGTGTGGAGCTCATGGCTGGTAGGTGCAGAGGCAGGACAGGAACCTGATGTGTAATTTTCATTGACAACCTTTTCATTATGAATCTTAGCAATTCCTCTGGAATGTTTAAGGTCAGTCTGTGCTTTTTTTTTTTTTTTTTTTTTGAGACAGAGTCTCACTCTGTCGCCCACGCTGGAGTGCAGCGGCACAATCTTGGCTCACTGCAAACTCCGCCTCCTAGGTTCACGCCATTCTCCTGACTCAGCCTCCCCAGCAACTGGGACTACAGGCGCCTGCCACCATACCTGGCTGATTTTTTTTGTATTTTTTTTTAGTAGAGACGGGGTTTCACCTTGTTAGCCAGGATGGTCTTGATCTCCTGACCTCGTGATCCGCCCGCCTCAGCCTCCCAAAGTGCTGGGATTACAGGCATGAGCCACCGCGACCGGCCGAGTCTGTGCTTTCTATAGGTATGTTTTGAGTTCATTTTATTAGGTACATAAAAATTTAGAAGTTAGTGTCTTCCCAGTGAGTGGACCTTTTTATAGCAGCATTGTCTCTAAATATCACTGTTTATCTTCAAGCCAATTTAGTTTGATCATTTTATAGAGCCCCTAGGTTCATCCTGATTGGCATTTATCAGCCATCTCCTTTCTCATTACTGTCAACCTTTATGACTCTTGTAAGACACCTCCACACATGGGCTACTCTGGATCTGACTTTATCTTCTACCTCTATGTCACTGGCAAGATCCTATCTGTATCTCACTGGCAGGATGAAGCCACTGAGCTGTTCAGGACCAGTGCCCTTGGTACACATACACGGACTAGACGTCAGCCAGGGCCACTGGTGCCTCACTGGGCTCCACCGCAGTGGCAGAGCAGTGCCAGCCAAAGTTCTCAGCTCTCTTCCTCACCAGATACTGACACCCTGGGTGTGTTCTGGTCTCTGCACCTCCCTAGCCTGTTGCTTGGTGGCTCTCTCTCCAGCCTTCCACCTCAGCCCCAGAGTCACTTCCTAGGGCAGCCTCTGCCATCACCTGACCTCAGGAGCACCCCTAAGGGATACTCAGCTGTGGGATCACCAGCTCTGGGAAGGCAGGGAACTGAACCACTTGCTCCATCCCCTGCTGTGTTCCCAGTCCCAACCACACCCTCACAGAGCTCACAGGCCCACGGGAGGCCTGCGAGCTGATGATGCCAAGGAGAAATCCCCCAGAACCTTCATGTAACGTGCAGCTGACCAGTCTCTGGGAGCTGCCCTAGGAGTCTTTTGGGCCTGGGGGTCTTTTGGGTGGCCATTAAAGTCTGTAGCATCCCGTCAGGGCCACCATGCCTGTCACCCAGACTTCCACAGGGAGGACTGGCTGTAGTCCCTGGCAAAATTCCTAATTTTTGGATGAGCTCTCCATGATGTAATTACGCCAACAGCACGGGAATCTGTGGCTTCCAGCGCCGTTCCTACTGAACACACACTTTTGACTCCTACAGAGACCCCATTGCCGAATGACAACCTGCAGGCCCCAAAATTCATCACTGGCCTCCAAACAGCCAATTTAACTTGTTCTGACAGTGAAACCACCGCACAGAAAATACCATCCCTGGGCAGCACTGCGTTTGCCAAGTTTTGGCCCGGAGCAAGCTTCTAGGGCTACCTGGGACTGATGAAATTACAAGTTTAACAAGGGCCCACAGGCCAGCTGTAATCATCCCTGGTGCACACTACACCTTCCAGGCAATCCGAGCCATCTGTGCTGGAAAACGCTCCCGAGCTGTGGGGGGAGTAACAGGTAGAACTCCCTGTGCAGGTCGGAGCCCCTGCCCCAGCCCTGACCTGTCTCCTGAGCCCTCCCTGATTTGCTAAGACCCTGACCTCCACCAGCCTGCGGGGAGCACTCTCGTTCCTGCCCCCGCCACTCTCCAACCAGGCACTCATGATGGGGCGGACATAAGCTGGACAGCCCCTCTGTCCACCCGCCAGCTCTCACGCCAATCTCGGCTACACAGAACTGCTTCTAGATGGGCTGTCCATAGGGGTGACAAGAGGGGCCTGTGGCCGTTCCAGGAACATGGGCAGTGAATGCACCATGGGGCCGAGTGAAGAGCCTCTACGCCTTAGTTCCCCCTGTGGAACGAGAGCTTGGAGCAGGCACTCTGTAAAATCCATCTCACCTCTGACCACCTCTGACCCCAGCCCAGCCTCCCCTGATGGGGGATGGCATCCAGGACATGTTGGGCAGCACAAGGAGGTCCAGAGCCCAAAGGAGCAAAAGCAACAAGGTGTGGTTCCGCACAGCTGACGGCAGAGGACACGCAGCTGGCCCAGACCTCACTCTAGGAGGGATTTCTCGACTGTGGGGACCTGGGGGGGGGTCATCCTGGGAGGACGGGGCAAGTGTTCCTCTGAGGCCCACTCCAAGGCAGGAGAGGAGGCTAACCTAAGGGCAGCATCTCCGTGTGCTGAAGGGAGGGTGCGAGGGTGGGAGGGAGACCCAGTCCCACTCTGGTTGGAGATAACAAGAAGAAGGAAGTCAATGCTGCTCTGAGACCGTGTGCACCCAGGTCTCATCACATGCCTGCACATACCTACATATACAGACACATGCACAGACATGCACAAATGTGCATGCATGTGGAGATGCACATACAGATGTGCACACAAGCACACACACTGACATACACACACACACTTGCACAGAGATGTGTGTGTGCATACACACAAATGTATAAACTTGGAAAAAAGCCTAGGAGTCATGCCTGTAATCCCAGCACTTTAGAAGGCTGAGGCAGGTGGATCACCTGATGTTAGGAATTCAACACCAGCCTGACCAACATGGCAAAACCCTGTCTCTACTAAAAATACAAAAAATTACCTAGGTGTGGTGGTGAGTGCATGCCTGTAATTCCAGCTACTCAGGAGGCTGAGGCAGGAGAATCGCTTGAACCTGGGAGACAGAAGTTGCAGCAAGCTGAGGGTGCACCACTGTACTCCAGTCTGGGCAACAAGAGCAAAACTCCAGCAAAAAAAAAAAAAGCCTAGGAGAAAGGAAGGAATAACCCAGTTTTGGAATCTGTAAAATCAAGACAGAGCGCCCTGCTCAGGCACAACTCCCACAGGCCACTCCTGTGCTAGGAGAGGCAAATTAGGTCTAAGGAAAGACATAGACCGGGCGCGGTGGCTCAAGCCTGTAATCCCAGCACTTTGGGAGGCCGAGATGGGCAGATCACAAGGTCAGGAGATCGAGACCATCCTGGCTAACACGGTGAAACCCCGTCTCTACTAAAAAATACAAAAAAACTAGCCGGACAAGGTGGCGGGCGCCTGTAGTCCCAGCTACTTGGGAGGCTGAGGCAGGAGAATGGCGTAAACCTCGAGGCGGAGCTTGCAGTGAGCTGAGATCTGGCCACTGCACTCCAGCCTGGGCGACAGAGCGAGACTCCGCCTCAATAAAAAAAAAAAAAAAAAAAGACATAAAGAGAGCTTTTTAGGAGGGAGAATTGCCTAGTGAGTTTTCAGAGCTAGACCCTGATCAAAAAGGGTCACAACAACACGGTTTACATGAGAACGTCTGTGCCCCGCCATCACTACAGTTGGGAATGACCTGGGGATGTGCAGGCAGAGGGGCGAGAGGGCAAGCTGAGGGCTGGGGGGTTCCCTTGAAGGAAGGGTCCTCGTGGCTACCTTATACAGCGGAGTCTCCAGGGTGTGGCAACAGGGCAGCCTGACGAAAGAAGACAGGGCTTATGACTGTTCCTCACAGGAGTGTCTACGGAGCGTGGAAAATGTGAGCGGAAACTGCGTGATGCAAGAAACCGGAGGAAAGAGTGCATTCATATCACCTTCTAAAAGTTGTTCCGAACTTTATCCAACAAATGAACTTTTGTTTCAAATAAGGGAAACAGTAAAGACCAACAAGATAGAGAAAACATGCAGACGGCGACACAGTAGGGCATTATGCATCTCTGGGCTGAGCCAAGCCCCCGGAGACAGTGAATGGTGCATTGATGCCAGCCACCACCTGGCTGCAGCTTTTTTTTTTTTTTTTTTTTTGAGACTGGGTCTCGGTCTTGTCGCCTAGCCTGGAGTGCAATGGTATGTTCTCGGCTCACGGCAACCTCCAGCTCCTGGGATCAAGCAATTCTCATGCCCCAACCTCCGGAGTAGCTGGGACTACAGGCATCCACCACCACGCCCAGCTAATTTTCTTGTATTTTTAGTAGAGACAGGGTTTCTCCCTGCTGGCCAGGCTGGTCTCAAACTCCTGACCTCAGGTTATCCACCCGCCTCGGCCTCCCAAAACGCTGGGATTACAGGCGTGAGACAGGACGCCCGGCCTCCACCTGGCCGCACCTTTAACTGGTGAGGCCCGCTGTTTCCTCCTGAAGGTTTGGCACCTCCCTCAGCTCTGCAATGCCCGTGGCTCCAGCCAAACCCTCGGGCTGGAGGGAGACTGAAGCTGCCGTTTAAAATGCACCTCGGCTGAGCTCTGCAGGTCCCTGGGGTTGGCCCAACCCCATGTTCCCTCGCTCAGTCTCCACCTCCCAGAGGAAAGGGCTCATATTCCCCCTCATCCTCTTCGGAGAAACCCACGGGCGGGCACACGGGGAAGGGTAAGTAGCAGGTGCTGGAGTATGCATCAGGAAGCCCAGCACCTGGGTCCCTCCCTCGAGTATCCACCTAGCAGGTGCCCTGGTGGCATGGGACCCCAGTCACCTGGAGACAAAAGTAGGTGTGCGTGCTGCTGATAGCCTCCATCAGAACGCTGTGCTCCTTCTGAGTCTGCAAGATGAGCCCGAGGTACCAGTATATGGAGATGATGTTCAGATCACTCCAGGAAATGACGCTGTCACCGCTGAAGAGCTGGGGGTGGGGCATGGCTGTGAACACAGGCCCGTGGACTTCAGGTGCCTCCAGAAATCACACAGGCTGGAGACTCCTGGCTGCAGGGCTGGGGGATGGGCCTGCAGGCCGGTCAGCCATGTGGGCTCCACAAAAGCCCACCCTGGAACGTGAGCCTCCTTCTTAGAAAGTGTGAAGACCTGCAGGCCCCTAGCCACAGATGGGCATGGCAAGGGGCTCTGAAGCTGGGGAGGCAGGAGGAGGGGGGTTCTGGATCCCTGGGCTCAGTGGCTAGTGGGGCTGGCCCTGGGTCAGAAGTGGCTGGTGGGACTGGGGACCCCAGGGTCAGGAGTGGGGGTTCTACAGAGTACATTCTCTTGGAGAGAACACTGAGTCCGCAGTAAATGCAGCATATGCTGCCGGAGGCTGCTGGCCCAGAATGTGAAGCCTCCTCACAGTGGTCCCAGACACAAGCAGCAGTACCTCCCAGGCCGCCATGGCCGGGGGATGGATGATGCCAGCCACTCCCCTTGCTCACGGTTCTTCCCACTGAATTGGAGCGGAAACTCACACACATACATGTTCCACCTGTGGACACAGGTGCCCCCGTTCTGACACCACGTCCCATCATGGAAGTTCCTCCGAGCAGACTGGCAACACAGAGCATGCAGCGGAACCCCACTTAAAGGAACCGTCCAGGGTCTGCTGTGCCGGGCATGGTGTGGGAAACCAGGATGGAATGAACACGGGGCTGGACAGAAATCAGACCAGGTCTAAACACCTCTGGCAGAGGCAGGAACGTGGGAACTGAGAAGGTGCTGAACATACTGCCCACATTTGGACACGCTGGGGCTCCAGGCCATCATGGCAGCCAATCCGGTCGCCAGGTGACACATGCAAGACCCTAGGATCATACGTGCCTTGGGTTAGCTGGCTGGGCCCGCAGCATCACAGCAACTCGGAACTGCAGAAACTGGGAGCTGCACATCTAGAGCCTGGACTCCAGGTTCCACTCCCAGAGCTGCCCACAGCTAGGCACACACATTCGTAAGAAAAAAGATGGCTCCCCTGCGATCTGTAAGCGGTGACCTCTGTGTGGCTGCCAACGTCCAGCCAGATGCCACTACGGCAGCCCCGACACCCCGGCGGCCACCGTACCTTCTCTGGTACCATTGTTGGTGAAGAATCCAGCCATGTCCACATTTTTGCTGTCAACTGACAGGTTCCGCATGCACCCCACGAACTGTCAGTTGTACACTGGGAAGTCTTCCAGCAGGTTGGGGACACCCCCCAGGAGCAGAGGGCTGGTCAGATCCAGGGAACTGAGGAGGTAAAGCTGTCCTCTGTGATGTCTGGGCAGCAAGAGGCGGCCACAGCAGGCTGGGTTCAGAAACCAAGCAGGCAGGCGGGCAGAGGCCAGAGTAAAAGGGGGCTCCTGCATCTGGTCCCGCCCCAGGCTCCGTATGCCTTTCTGTGCATGTTTCCTTGCACTTGCATTCGGTCCTGACCATTTCGGTGTTTGACACTCACCAGTGACCACCAAGTCCTGCCCACCCAGGCTGGTCCACACGTAAGACTGAATGTGAGCACGGGGGGCACAGGTCAAGGCCAGCGGGGACTCGACTCCACTTTGGCCTCTGAGTTCTTCCAGGAAAAGGAACAGACCTGAAGGGAGGCCAGAAGAAAATGAGAACCCTGGTGGCACCCCAGGCAGCGGTGCGACCTCGGGCAAGGGCTGTGACCTCTCTGGGGCACAGTTTACATCTCAGCAAAAGGGCACCATCCTGCCTCCATCCCAGTTGGACAGGATGAGATGAACCAGGCAAGGGACTGCCCCCAGCCCCTATCAGGTGCTCAGGATGTATCAGGGCTATCTATATCATCTTCAAAAAGATGTGGTGATTTAGTGGCTTGTGCCTATAATCCCAGTACTTCAGGAGGCCGAGGCTAGAGGGCTGCTTGAGTCCAGGAGTTCAAGGCCAGCCTGGGCAACATAGGGAGGCCTTGTCTCTACAAAAAATTTTAAAAATTAGCTGGGTGTGGTGGTGTACGCCTGTGGTCCCAGCTACTCGGGAAGCTGTGGCAGGAGGATGGCATGAGCCCAGGAGGTTGATCAAGGCTTCAGTGAGCTGGGAGCGTGCCACCACACTCCAGCCTGGGCAACAGAGCGAGACCCCATCCCAGGAAAACACATACACACACATAAGCCTCTGGGACAAGCTGGGTGACACAGCACTTCACTTAACAGAGTGTCCTGGAGTCCCAGGCACCAGAATTTGTGGGGACAAAGCCAGTAATCCGTGGAAGTGGGGCCAGAGACCGTCTCTGGGTCTACAAGCCAGCCATCACAACCCTGGGGTTGGCCTGGCCACTCTTGATACTTAGGGAGACTATTCTAGAAGGTTCTAACATGTCAGAGGGAAGGTGTCCCAACCATGGAGAGGGAGTCTGACTCCAGCCTGGACTGAGATTGCCAGGGCACTGCCCCCAGAGTACCTACATGGAGCCCTGCTCTGGGAAGTCTGCAGGGTGAGCACATTAGGGGGTGCGGACCCCCAGGGCCTCCCCTCCTTAGATGCTCACTTCTTGGAGTCAGTCTAAGTGTCCTGGGCAGCACAGCTGTAGTTCCCAATGTCCTTTCCCGAAGCACAGAGTCACTCACCGCACCGTCAACACAGCCATCTTCTCCCTGGACGGCCTGTGTGGCAGGCCCAGGTAGCCGATGTTAGGCTGTCAAGAAAGCACAGAAGGCGTCAGCGTTTTCTCTGCCACTGCACTCAGCAGGTGCACCTGTCACTCATGGAGTGGGGAGGACACATCACAGGGTGGGCGGCAGGTGGACAAGGATGAGGAGCCCCCAGCCTTAAGTTAGTTCCCCGAACTAGCTGTGCTGGGCTGCACGGTGACCCTTCAAGTTCTGCTTCCCAGAATCTCAGAACATGGCCTTGTTTAGACAAAGAGCTGGCGCCAATGGAATTAATTAAGATGCAGATGTCGTGGAGTAGGCAGGCCCTGATCGAAGATGACCGGTGTCCTCCTAAGAGGACAGATGCTGAGACTCAAAGGCACGCAGGGAGAAGCCACGTAGCCACAGAGGCAGCTGCTGGAGTGGCTGTCTACCAGCCAAGGGACACCTGGACCCCCAACAGCTAGGAAAAAACAGGGAGGGCCCAGCCCTTCAGACTTCAGAGAGGGCACAGCCCTGCCCACGCCTTGACTTCAGACTTGTAAGTGCCAGACTGGGAGAGAATTGTCTGTTTGAGCCACCCGGTCCGCGATACTTTGTGACGGGGGCCCCAGGAAATGAAGATAGCAGCCAACACTCAAGCCCCAGGGCCCCTCCTGTGAACACCCGCTTCTGCCCTTCTGGGGGTGTCCTCCTGACCACAGCGCCTGGCCAGGTTCCTGCTCCCCAAACCTGTGCTCCTACAGTACAGATACCAGGAGGCCACTGCCCGGCCGCCGACGGCCCCACATCTCCTGTCTTAAGGTGTGGAGCTCCCTGTCTGGGCCAGGAGTCTGTTCCAGGGTGGGGTACAAGAGTCCTTCTGGAATCAGCGACCTCGGGTGAAACCTCTCCCTCCTTGAAGAGATACGGTTTGCCATCCGGGAATGACCCCCTCTCCCTAGGCAGCTCTCATGGGTCTCAGCTCCTGGTCAGCCCCTCCCAGAATAAGGCGCACATCCACCCAGTCAGCCTCAGACGCCCTTCCAGCAAGAGAAGCAGCACCAGCCCTGCACGATCCATGCTGGCCATGGAACTTAAGCATGTGGGTCTCAAAGTTCCAGAAACTCAGGAGTTTCTGGAGCATGGTGTGTTCCAGGAGCTGGCTACGCAGCTTCTCCCTGAGTGCCTGAGTCTCAGCACCTGTCTTCTTAGGAGGACACCGATCATCTTGGATCGGGGCCTGCCTATTCCAGGACATCCACATCTTAAAAACAGGGCAACTAGGCTGAAAGGCAGCACACAGAACTGGAAACAGGAGCTCAGCCAGATGGCCAAGTTGCATGACTTCAGGGGACCCTGGACACCCAGGCAGCAAGCCCTGCCTCGAGTTGTGCAGTGTGCAGCCTACACAGCTATACGTGGCCACCCCAGCTGCGGCTTCTGCTCCCCCTTATCCAATCATCTAAGGTAGATGAGATCCACCACCGTACCTCAATTTCTTTTTGTGCAAGATAATGATTTACTATTACAACACACATCTTCTCTGTGTTACAGGGACTTTGAGGGGGACATCAACAAAGATACATGAGTTTCCCACACATCTTTCTCAGTAAATCCAAGGGAGGCTTCTACCATGCCCCCTGGTATTCGAGTACATTTCATTTTTATTTTACATCAGCTGATAAAATCACAAGGCCTAATAAGCTGTCTCCTTAAAGATTTCACTTTTGGTTAAGCAACAGGTAGGTGAGTGCGTTAAAAATTATCTGTTTTCTAGCTTGTAACTCAGCCCACTTTGGAAACCGCGTGGAAGTGTGGTCCATTATGGGGTGCTTAAACGTTAGGTGCAATCCCAGGCAAAGAACCACCTCCCCCCACTGTGTGAGCCCCACATTATCTTTACCACTTATAATTCACATTTTTGGGGCTGGGCATGAGACTTCTGGGGGAAGGACATAATAGCATTTATACTGGGAAGGCTTTCTTGAAAGTAAGCTGCTGTTTACAAAACTGCAGTTGTTGTAAACTGCTGCTGGTAATCAACCGCTCAGAGCTACAGATTCAAGCAAAAACCACGGGAGAAAGAAAGCTGGAGGTAAAAGACAAGGCCAACACAATCCACACTTATTTTTCAGGTGGCACAGACTCATGTGAGACGCCCACTGCTCGGAGACCTGACTTCAGTCTGGCCTTCGTGAATCAGAGCAGCAGGCACGGGGCGTTTAGGAAACGGTCTCTGATACACAGCACCCAACAAGTGCTGCTTGGTTCTGACTCCCAGACAGACCCACCAGTGGCCACTGGGTCAAAAGTAACAGCACTTTTGGCCAAAGAGCCAAATGTTCTCAGGTGGAGAGCTGAAAGCAGCAGGAGGGCTGCGCAGAGGAGGGGGGGACCTGTGGAGTCTGAGGTCCCTGCTGCCCAGAGAAGCAATCACAGCATCCCGATGGCCCATCCCTCTCCTGCCGTCCCAGAATAGGTGCTGAGTGGGGCCCTGGTTTAAAATACCCGCCTCTCAGTGAGTCTGGTTTAATGTGATGCTAATTCTGAGGTGGGGGCCAGCAAGTGTCGGGGAGGCAGGGGGCGCATGAACACGGTGCTGTGGGTGGTTTGAGATGCACAGATGGGGTTCCCCAAAGCATTAAACACAGAACTACCACCCCAAGGCACATACCCAAAAGAACAGAAAACAGGAACTCAAAAAATATGAGTTCATGAGAGTTGATGGCATTACTACCTACAATTCACAAAAGGTGGCAACCACCTAAATGGCCATCAGTAGATAAATGGTAAAACTGGCCCATCCCTGCACTGGAATCCCAGCCACCAAAAGGAACGAAGCACTGACATACGACAACGCGGGGGTCCTGGAACACACCACGTTCAGTGAAAGCAGCCAGACATGAAAGGTCACACACTGTACAACTCCATTCCTATGACATTTCCAGGACAGGCACATCCACACAGAGCAGACAGATGTTGCCAGGGGCTGGGGAAGGATAGCAAGTGACTGCTAATAGTATGGGGTTTCCTTTTGGGATGATGAAAATGCTCTTTTTGAGACAGAGTCTTGCTGTCACCCAGGCTGGGCTGGAGTGCAATGGCACAATCTCGGCTCACTGCAACCTCCACCTCCCCAGTTCAAGCAATTCTCCTGCCTCAGCCTCCCAAGTAGCTGGGATCACAGATGCCCACCACCACGCCGGGCTAATTTTTGTATTTTTAGTAGAGACGGGGTTTCATCATGTTGGTCAGGCTGCTCTCAAACTCCTGACCTCAACCAATCCACCCACTTCAGCCTCCCAAAGTGGTGGGATTACAGGCATAGGCGATGAAAATATTTTATCATTTTTTAAAAGTTACTACTATTGGTCAACTGATGGCATGAAAATATCTTAGACCTCAGTAGAGGTGGTATGGCATAATACTGTGAATATACTAAATGCCACTTGAAAACTTGATTTTATGTTATGTGAACTTCACCTCAATAAGGCAAAAAAAAAAGATTCCTGGGTGGGCATCCTCCCCCTCACCAGCCACCTGCCACTCTCCACCTGGATAACTTTTGGGAAGATCTTTCCAATTTTTCCCTCTAACATGGACAGAAAATGCATTATTTGGCCTTCCTGCCAGGAGGCTATGAGTGATAAAACACAGTCAAGAGAGGTGAACATTCTCCAGGAGGGGTCAAGAGGTGCATGCACAATTTACATAAGCGGCTTGCATGGGGCTAAGTGAAGACAACAGCAGGTGTGTGTGATCTGGGCTTTGGCTCATCTATTTTTGTAAAAGGAAGACAAACTCTGTCTCTCCTGAAAGGCTGGCATGGAGCACAAGGAGGCAGCAGAGAAGAGACTGGGCAGTGGTAACAGCTCCAGACTGTGGAGTGGCCCGTCCACCTCTGAGTTTCACACAGAGAAAGCAACTTAAGCAGCTTCTGCAGGGCACTGGCGTGGAGGTTTCTGGTCAGGAAAAGCACTCAGTGGCTTGGCTGGGTCACAGTCGACAATGAATGGTACAGGTCGGCGGGATAAGGAATGACACAGACAAACCGCCCCATTCGCATTTCTAAGAGGAATTTCTAAAGTTTGCCACGTATTTATACAAGAGACAGTGTGGGAACGAAGGGGGCCAAATGGTCGAATCTGAGATTTCTCTCAATTTTTGTGGTGGAAGGTTCCGGGCACAGGATGGGCCAAGGCCAGTATGGTGAAGGTGCTGGCACCCTGGCACCTGCTCTCCCAGCTTAATTATTATGAGACTTCCCCCTTTTCTAATATGAGTATTTAGTGCTCTAAATTCCCCTCTTAGTGCTGCTTTAGCTGCATCTCAGTTTTTGGTATTTTGGATTTTTATTCCCTTTAAATGTTTAAAAAACTTTCCTTCTTCTCTCTCTTCTTTTCTGAATAATGAAATATTTCGGTCAAGTCTCTATGCAGACCCATCTCCAACTGCTGGAGTCAGCTGGTACCATCAGAGCTGAGTGGGGCAGAGCAGCAACACTGGGGAAGGGGCCGCTGGGAAGGGAGTGGCCAGGGAAGGGGCAGCTGGGGAGGGGGCAGCCAGGGACAGGGTGGCCACAGATAGGGCAGCGAGGAAGGGGGCAAGCTGGGGAGGGGGAAGACAGGAAGGGGGCTGAGTGAAGTGGCGGCCTGATGGAGTTGCGAGGTTGTTTAAGTAATGGAAGGTTGAGAAAAATCTAACTATACTAAGGAGAATGAAAACAGGTTTCGAACTGATAAAGAGTTACAAATATAGAAGAGGAAAAAAAGTTTCGAACTGATAAAGAGTTACAAATATAGAAGAGGAAAAAGAATGAACCTAACTCCACTTGGGCTGCTGTAACAAAATACCAGAGGCTGAGTGGCTTTCAAACAACACACGTCTCTCTGCCCTGGAGGCTGTAAGTCCAAAATCAAGGTGCTGCAGTTTCAACGTCTGGGTGAGAGTCTGCCACCTGTTTCTCAGACCAGCATCTTCTTGCCACTCCTCGAGATGACAGAAAGGGTTAGGGGTGGTCTGGGGTCTCTTTTACAAGGACATTCATTCCACTCCTGGGAGACCCTGATCACTTCCCAAAGGCTCCACTTCCTATCACCTTGGAGGTAAGGATTTCAATATATGAATCTGGGGGTGGCTATACTCTGAGGAGTCCCCGAAAGTTCATGTGTTGAAACTTCATGGCGTACGAATCACTATCAAGAGAGGAGGCCTTTAGGAGGTTGTGAAGCCACAAGGGTGGGCCCCTCAAGGATGGGATAAGGCCTCACAAAAGGGCCCACAGGAGTGGGTCCATTCTCTTCCATTCTTCCGCCATGTGAGGACACCTGGACACTGCCATTTATGAGGAATGAGCTGCCAGGCTCCAACCTGCAGGTGCTCAGGCTTCCAGCCTGCGTGACCTTGTGAAAAATCAACTCTGGTTTTAAGTACCTAGCCTCGGGGTGTTCTGTTACAAAGCAGCAATGTTTAATGGGCTGGCAGGATCAGAGGACGTGAATGTGCAGAGTATAGCAAACTCGGCAGTGCTGCAGTGAAGTTCATGCCTTCAATAGGCAGGATAGAAAAATGGGAAAAAATCAGTATTTATGTGTGTGTGTACATATGTCCACACCCACCTACACAGACGTCTGTCTCCTAGCTCTGCCCAGGAAGAGACTTGAGAGTGATACTCCCAGAGCAATAAACAACAAGCACCCAGACTTTCCATTTCTAAATGCCACTCTCCACTAAAAGAATCAGGCTCCAGGCTCCCGCGGTGGCTTACGGCTGTAATCCCTGCACTTTGGGAGGCCCAGGTGGGTGGATCACTGAGGTCAGGAGCTGGGGAAAGCCCGGGCCAACATGGTGAAACCCTGTCTCTACTAAAAATACAAAAGTTAATCGGGTGTGGTGGCAAGTGCCTGTAATCCCAGTTACTCCAGGGAAGCTGAGGCAGGAGAATTGATTGAACCCGGATGGTGGAGGTTGCAGTGAGCCAAGATGGTACCACTGCACTCAAGCCTGGGTGACACAGCGGGACTTCATCTCAAAAAAACAAAACACGCAGACATGAGCGATACAAGACACACACACACACACGCACACACACACATCCTATAACCAGGGCTTTAAAATCCAGCAATAATATCCTGGGAGCCCCTCCTCCTCGGTGCACAGAGCTCCACTGCACTGTTGGCAATGGTTGTGTGTGGACGCTCCACTGTCAGAGACTCCATATTATATGAAACACCTTCAGTGTCTCATTTCTTGTAAGTTCAATTCTGTGCATGTAGTTGGCACTCAACATGGAAGGGAGGGAGGGAGGAACGGAAAGGGAAGGCCACGTGGCCCCACCCAGGAGACCACACAACTGTCTAACCATGGCAGATCTGTAGAGCCCAGAAAGAGTCCCATCAGAACCAGTCTGAAACAAGCCACTAGATAGAAGCCCTTGAGATTTTTAGAACATTTGCAGAAACGGAGAAACTTCCCCTGACCCCAGGGTGCTCTGGGACAGTGGTCACACTCTCACTCTCCTCGACTTTGGGGTTTAATGTCCAGCACAGACCAAAGAGGTTTTGAATGACCTGAGAAGGAACAGGTGAGCAATCTCTAATGACAGCAGGACCTAGGGGTCATCTCAAGGTCATGTGGAAATTTGTGCACTTATGATCCTCTGCTTAACATAAGCAGAGGCTGGTCCTCGAGAGGTTTGTTGCAACCGGAGCTCATGCTGTCTTATAAAAACCACTTTCTGCAATGTGCCAAAGACAACCCCGTACTATCTTTGTGAATCACTCAGAACTGAGGAAGCCAAATTGCTGAGGCAGAATCCCAAGGACTCTAAAGCCAGTTCAGGCATGGGGCTCACCGCCATGGTCTAGGCCACATGTGGCCAGCATGTTGACTGCGCTGTGCACAGTACTGACCATGGACAGGTGATGGTCACAGAGTGCCCCTTGAAGGCCACCTGCCACCTGTAGAGCCTGCTGCCTCAATCCCCTGTCCAGGTCTCAGATTCCACCTAAAGCCACGAGGACTCCTCCTCACTGAGCTAGCCCAGTGGTTCTTATCCAGGCACGACCCTCAGGGGCATGGCAATGATGCAGACCCTTGGTTGTCAAAACCGGGTTAGGGCACAGCGAGTCTAGTGGTCGAGTCCAAGCACACTGCCCAGAACAGGCCTTCACATCAGAAGGATCAGCGCCTGCAAGGCAGCACCCAGGTGGGGAATCCCGGTGTGGCTGGCTCACCACCTCCCCACGTCCCTGCTTCCATGCAGAATCTCCCAGCAGCTCTGGGCCTCCTGGCGCCCCACCTCAGCCTCCTGGAGTACCCAGAGAACCACACTGCCTGCTACTCTGCCAGACACCACTCTGCATGTCCCTGCCTCCACAGCTGGCCAGGAGGTCGTCCTGCAGGTCAGCAGGCTCAGCTGGCTTTGAAGATACTCTGCGCCAGGTGGGCATGAGCCACCCTTGCTTCCTCAGGTCCTTGCCCTGAACATCTTGTTGGCATGTCTGTGCTTTCTGACCGCTGTGACTCTGGAATACAGTGAGTCTAAATGCGGTCCCTGCAGGCGGCCTCAGGAAGCAAAGTCTGGGAATGTCTGCTGAGTGGAGCCCTGAGGGTCCCTGTCCCCAGACAGCCCTCCCAGCTCTGTCTCCACAGGGAATAAGTTTCTCCCCAAACCTCCCAAACACCCAGGATGCCGAGGGCAACAGGGGAGCAGAAACACTGAAATCTAATGAGGGCAAAACCAAAATCCTGGGCAAGAATGTTTTCTGTCAGACACGTTTGCCCTTTGCAAGTGGTGGAAATACCTTCAAAATATCCTTGATAAATATAGGCCTGGGATGAAGCAATGATTGAAATTTCTCCACTCAGCCCCAAACCCCCCAGGGTGATTGTGCGAGTGAGGGCTGTGTTGTTTCACCTGTGCTTTGGCGGAACTCACACAAATGCACAAATGCCTGCCTTTGAGAAGACCTTCCTGGAAAAATGTCAGACTCCAATGCAGCCTTTGGTTTTGCTAAAGGTGAATTAGACCACAGTCCTTCTTGTCAAATGTCATTCGAAGCAGAAAGGAAAATAGATTCTGCCTGCTCCTTGCCTGGGAAGGTTCCCAGGTCTTGCTTCTGGTGGCT